GCCGGGCCGCCGTGTGCGGCAGCCGCATGGCCTGAGGCGGGCGAGGAGGGATGGCGGCAGTGAGGCGCCCCTGGCGGCGGAGGGGGCCCCGCCGCCCTCCTTAGGCCCCGTCGCCCTGTGGGGAGGGTTTGAGGATTTTTTTGGTTAGTTGGTTGGTTTGGGGGTTTCTTTTTTGTGTTTTTCTTTACGATGGGAGGCTGCACGGCCCTCCAGCCCCCTCTGCCTCCCCAGGAGATGAACCAGGATTGGGCAGTGACTGGAACCTCTTATTAATCAACTTAGAAAAGTGGTCCCTCAGCCCAGAGCCATCCCATCCCATAGCCCTCAGACCTCCCCTCATGGCTTGTCACCAGACCGTAACTCCTGGCTGCTCCAGGCTTACGCAGACTTTCCAGCTGCTGTTCAGCTGCTCAACAGCCTCCTCTGAACCACGGCGTGGATCAGCTCGGCCTTCACCTGCTGCCACTGCAAAGAAAAAAAAAATTGTGAGAAATTGGAAATTATTCCCACAAATGTCTTACACACCAGGTATCTGGGTTTTCAGATAGCCCATTCTCTGGGAACAGTAGTCAGGAGAAGAACCAGACCCAAGCTCATCGACCGCAACTGGTTTAGCAGCACTAAAACGTGAGGCTGCCCAAATGGTGGTGCAGCTCCTCTTCTGAGCACTTTGTCCGGAGACCTGCAAACTCCTCCTGTGAGAAAGGGGATCATGCGCTCTTCGCCATCTCTTGCTGGAGTCGTCATGGCCTAACAAAGCACAGGCACCACATCCTCTCGTTCTCTGTCTCAAAAGCTCACTTGTCCACCAGCATTTGCCAACTCGTTCAGTTAAGAGCAATCCCTCTGGAAACAGCAAGTTTGTTTAATGGTAGTTTCGATTAATGGCTGTCCGTGCAGCCTCTGCGCCCCAAAACTGGCCTCTGAAATCCAGGCTGGAAAGGCGTTCAAAGATAAAGGCAGGAGTGCTATCATGTAGATAAATATTTGAGTTTCAGGCACTGACTAATGAAGACTAAGAACGTTTATGCAAGCCTCATGCAAGTTACCATCAAACTTGAAAACTTATTTAAAATGTTTCAATCGGGATCCTGATGAAGAGGCAAAATGGAGACGCCCTGCCTATCAGATGTGAAAGGAAGTCAGAAAAGCTTTTTGATAAATGAGTTGTACCAACAGATAGAGAACAAAATTGGTGTAAAAAGTACAGTTCTCTGTGGTTATAATTCTGCCAAAACCAATAACATCTAAGAAAATACATACAATAATTGAATTTTACTGTACCAATTAAACAAAAAGGTACCCTAAAGTCACATTCCCCTAAATCTAGGGATATATTCCACTTGTAGGTAGTGCTGTCAGTTTTACCTAATGTGAGATTTGCAACACATCAGAAGCAAAGAAAGAACTTCAGTTAACAGTTTGTTCACTAGTATCACAAACAGATGAACTGCAACAAAACAGTAAAAATGCTCCCGCAACCTGTATCTCTCCCGTGTGCTGCTGAAAAGATGGATTGACTCTGGGGAGAATAACTTCAGTACATTTTGAAAGGCAGGCTACTGTCTGTACAGGAACTGTACAGGAAAAACATTCTCTTCATAAAAAGCAATCGAAAACTAAGTGATTTCTATCACCTTAGCAAGTACACTTGCCATGCTCAGTGACCACGTGCATGCCTGGATGCCCTGTTAAACCACAAATTGTATCTCATTTCCACAAAAGCCATTGTATCTCCACAATTCCACTGTAACCTCAGTCCACAACTCTCTTAACACATTTCCTTTAAACTCGTTAGTTTATTTCAAGCTTGGATTTCTAAGCATGTCCTTGCATTCTTAAGAAAAGAAGAGCACACAGTGGATGCCAAATGGTCCCCTGATACTTTCAGAGAGTGGAGGATGGCTGAAATGTCTAAAACTTAATGAGTCAATATGCAGAAATACCACCACCAACATCAACATGCTCCAAGCCTAGCGAACAGAAAAGACAGGCTATTACTGTGACTTTCACTGTTCAGTTTCAGCTTCCTGGAGCAAGCACAAATTCTGAGTCTTCACTACTGTTATACAGTAATTTAGAAATACAAAAGCAAACACATTTTCCATGTTTGTTACATTAGGACCCACTTAGAAAAAGCTTGCTAAAGTTTATGGAGATCAAAATTTTGGATAGCTTGACTCTTAGGATAAAAAAAAATATGTAGATTAGAAGATCATGTAAATTAATGCTATTGGGATATAGTACTCTCTGGGAGACTTTTTTAAGCCTGTCTTTTTCTGCAAGATAAATTTTAGGGCACTGCTTTTTGCAGTAGCAAATGCAAACATGGTGGGAAGACTGACAAAGCATCAGTTTGAGGTCTGCATAATCTACTACCTTCTGAAGAAAATTTTAAAATGTATATAAACACTTTACAATCCTGGGTCTCCTATTCTCAGTCCTTCAGTCTAATATCTAGTTACTTATCAGGGATTCATTATTTCAGTAGCACAGCTAACTTATTCAAATTCACCTGACTTTGTTGGTCTTCACAAGTTTAACCCTCATACTTGGCTTGATGCAATAACTTCATTTCTTGTTACTCATCCTCACTCAACTTTTCCCTCTCTCAGTCTTTCCACTAGCCCAGCAGGAAGAGAATCTGAAATGATCTTAAATTCATATTCACTGGGGAGTACACATAGATTGCTAAACATTCCATGGTCTGCTTTACTAAAATCTTCTGGAAAGCACAGATTTTGTTACCCTAGAGCAGTTGCCAGAGCAATCCCAAGTAAAATACAGCTCATGTGAACAGTGCGGGGGGGGAATAGAAAAAAAAAACAAAACAACAAAACTCCAAAACCCCTCACAAAGCCAACCAAACAAGAAAAAGATTTTTCTGTTCTAAGACAAACTTGTCTCAAATTACATTTACTTTTAAAATGTAGTTCTTCATTACATCTACAGATGCATCTATTGAAATACTATGGGGTATGCTCTGTTCAAAATAGTGAAATACTCTAAGTTGAATGAATTCCAAAAGCTAGGGAGCTAAAAGACACCACGGAAAAGTTAGTCGATAGCATCCTGATGTTACAGTACTAAGCTTTCAACTAAAATACTAGAATATCTTAGTGGAAAAAATACTGTTTGAATGTTATTTAAAAAAAAAAAAAAAAAGCCTATGCTGCTTGCTTTGTCACTGTCCATCCATGTTTTCTAATGTGACATCATTATATGCAAAAATAACTGTTCTCAGGAAATATACTGGGTTCTACTGGAAAAGAAAATTGTCACGAGACCACTCCTGGCAACCTTATTTTAAGTCATCTAAAATAGCAAAAACTGAGAAACCCCTTTTTAAGTGACAGATAGGCCTCCAGAGGACAGAGTTATGATTCTTTGGGTTTCAAGGAAAGGATAATCACCGCAGCCTTTATAAAGCTTGTACAGAATTCACAGCCCAAAGGTGAGAGATAACATGGACTTAAACCCTGTTGCACAGGGGCTTCCGCAGCTCCAGTGATAGCCAGTGGGGTGACTGGTGTGCCCGAGGATTGCCAGTTACACCTGCCTCTCGGGCCCCTCTGTGGGTGCCTTCCTCCTTCCATCTTGGTCCTCGTAACCAGGGCTCGGGAGAGGGCAATGAAAAAGCCAGCATCTGCTCTCTGTTGGAGGTAAATCTTTTAAAGCTTTCTAATTCTGCATCAGGACTGTGGAATTGAAATAGAAATCTCACAAGATTATCAAATAGCTTCCTCGAAAATCGCAGTGCTTTCGTCTCACCTCATTACGAGTGTCCCTCACCTACTGTGCATTATTTACATGGAGACACCATGTCACAGAAGTGAAACTAAACCTAATGGATAGCAAATATACCTACCTTTAATAACATAATTATAGTTAGTATTTTCTATTTAAAACCTTTAAAACTCTGAGTAAAGTGCCTCTGTGGATTCTAGGTTTTGGTTAAAAAGGAAGAAAACAGTAAGAATGCCTTATTTTGAAGCAGTGATTACCTTTTACACTAATGCAGCCATTGAAAAATTATTGTCCCTTATCTTAGAAAATATATTTAACTTACCTTTAAAAAATTTTGTCTAAAATGTATTTAAATTGTTGCACATAGATAATGCAAAATGTTCTGCTTGTGTAGCATATTTCTGTGTACTTACCACTCCTGTATTTAAGTACAAATCCTCTTAGCTGAATGCACTGATACCTTTTGAAAGTGATGATATTGACACCAAAAAGCATCAGAACCTGACAAAATATTCTAAATTGTGCCGTAATTAATACCTCTCAACTTATAGCTGTGCGACTTACTACCTCTTAGATATTAAGTGCACTATCAAAGCACTTTAAAAGTATACATACATACATAACTTAGTGCCAATCTATCAATATATTCTAAATTTGATCACATTGCAGTTGTAAACATATGCAAAGATTACGTCTAGAACATCTCTATTTTGTACATTTTAGCAATGTAAATGAGACTAGCAGCCATTAAACAATTATGACTACGTTTGCTTCCAAAAAATTGTACATTTATTTATATGGGAAACATGTTGATGCTGTGCATTAGTTTTATTCTATACATAAATGTCATCTTGAGCTAATAAAAAGTCAAGGTAGTATAAATTACTGAAAAAACTACTATAGTAAATAATTACAGAATATATTAATAAACAAAACTGTATGAAACATTTTTTAGTACTTTGGTCATATATTGGTAAAATTTATTTTAAAAGCAGAAACAAAACTGGTACCTGTGTCCACATACACAACACGCATAACACACATTTCACATATAAGTATCAACATCTTCCATTTCTCAAATTTTGTTTCCACAGCAGTATTAAGCTTTATTTTTAATAAAGACTTCCATTAATTTATTTTAGATTAGTGTTAATATAAAAGGGTAACACACTTCTAGAACCTGAAGCTGTAAAAAAAAAAAAATATCTTGCAAATTTAGAGCCTTTAAGCCAAAAAAATGTAGGTGGTAACATAGCTAAAGACAGTAAGATTGAGATTACACAAGTAAATTTTACGTAGCCCCCCTCTCCACTTAATATCGTGTGTGTTTGAAGTGAAAATTACTAAATCCTGAGAACAATCAAACTGAACCATGTTACACTAGTAGAATATAACAAAAGTATTCTTATGCTGAGTGTCACATACAAATTGTTTCATTCTTACACTAGCCTAGCAAACTTGGAATATTCCTCTCCATCCATTCCAAACTTAATATTCCTAAGACTGACTTTTTCCTCCACTCAAACACACTCTTTAAAAATCTTCATTAATAATTTAATTTTGATTAATATGGTAGATATTTCTTTGTGTAACTCACTGCTGTAAGGGGTGTATGGTAAAGATTTCTAATGTCAAAACACTGAATATATACATTGCATTGTTTTAACATCTACTAAAATCTTTTGGTAATAACATGTTATGGAAGACTGAGAGCGTAATAGAAAATCAAGTAATGCTTCTTCAAAAACCCTTTGAATGGGGGCTTCATACTTGCTGTAACTAAATGGCATAACAATATACCTGTAAAAAAATATACCAACTGTTGTCTCCAATGTATGAGGAAGAATAGCATATCCAGAATATTTAAATAGAAATGTATGCAATTGTAACCCTACTTGTTTATTTATCACTTGTATGTGATTTTTTTAATGTAAAATTAACACACAACATGGAAATATTATGTAAATCCTTAACAATCTGAAGTTTCTTTTGTTTTCAAGATGGCATTTTAGTATTATCAAGATTAAAAAGTGCTGGAGCTTATATGCATACTGGTTGATTCAGTTTTCCATCAGAACTGATGACTGAATTAGTGCAAAACTTCCACTATGTGCAATTTTCTTGTATGATGTAGTAGACAATAAAATATTCAGTTCTATTTTGCCAATTGCATTTTTTACCTATGCCAAACTCAGTTAGCAAAACAAAGAAAACAACGCTTAAGAAAACTTTCAGACAATTCAAGTAGAATAATTTTGTATAAAATGTATTTATCTTAAACTTCCCTTTCTACCTTCCTCCCCCTTCAGATTGCCAGAAATATGAAATATGCATCTGACAATGTTATCTCTAATACAAAGTATTACTACTGTTAGAGAAACGTAAGAGTCAAACATACTCTACTTATATGCATTTGACTATCAGCTTTCTAATGCTTTTTAGGTATCATTTTATTGGTAATAAGTATGCGTGTCCACTCAAACTTTCAAATAATTTTATAAAAAGTTAGAAAAATATACTTAACATTTGTTGCATAACCTTCCTATATTCACTCTATCATACATTAATCTTATAAAATGCTTTAGAACCATTTATTAGCTGCAAAAATACCAACCACTGTGCAGCACCTGGAGAAAGGTCTTGGTGAGAACATACAATCCAGTAGTATGTGATCTTGAAGGTATTTTTCTTCAGGTTTACAGCTCTGAATTTTCACAAGTAAACCCAATATTCAATACTGCGTTCACATGAGCATCCATTCGCACATAGACCTTTCTTGATTTCATGCTAAATCCTGAAGAAGAGCTGGTGATGTAAAGAGTTAAATGACAAAGTCTGATCAACTAAGTATGATAAAACGAACTCCACATTTAATTGCCACCAAGTTATTTTGCAACAAGCTGATACAAGCTGATAGACTGTCATTTTAAAAATTTTCCTTCAAGGGCAAAAACTGTTTCTGATATATGGTTTTTTTAATGATGTTTTTCAAATGCTATTTGTCATCCAGTTAAGCAATGACATCATGGGTATCACTGTTGGGTCTTTGGCGTACAGTCAGCGGGGGCAGAGGCTTTCCATAGAAATCTGTGTAAGAAATGTCAGAGAAGAAAAATATATTAATCTGTTATGTACTATCTCCTGTCCTTAAAGGCTGTTGAAATAAGATAAATTCTTGTTTCCTTAATGAAAACTAGGTAGCCTACAAATTTAGAGCTAATTCCTACATGCAACTTTCAGACATAGTGCTAATTGTCTGGAGGGGTATTGGCCAAAACAGGATTTAATTATGATTTGTTACATATGCATCAGCATTTGCAAGATCAAGCCCAAAGGTAAGGCATAAACATCCCTAAAAATATGAACTGAGCCATCCAAAGTGTATAAATAACAATTGAAAAAATAAAGTATCAAAATTTGAATGTTACTGTAGACAAGTAGGCATAGCAATAAAGTTTTAAGTGACAGTAATGCTATGCAGCATCCAAAATTTGGGGACCATTTATGCATGGCATCAATCTTGAAAGCCACACTCATTTTCCAGAAAAACTATATTAAGAATTTTGACAAAGAATGAATACAACATTTCCTTTTGTCAATTAAGTAATTTCAAGTAGTAAAACTGTCCAAGACAGAATTATTAAGTATACCGGGGGAGAATAACAAGTATTCTCAAACATTTGTAACCAGCACAAAAGGAAAAAAAAACCATGCAGACTGGTACATGCAAAGCATTTCACAAGCAAAATAATATCATGAAAGATGGTAAGAGGAAACAGGTGGAAATCAAGAAAAAAATAAAAGCAGCTTTTTGAAGCATTCAAATCTCAATTTTGTTTGCACAGAAAATCTCCTCCTCAACAAAGCCTTGGTGGCCTGCCAACACAAAATTCAGCTTTAATAAATCATAATTTTCCAGGTAAAATGTATTCAACTTGTTCTAAATATCTAAATAACTTGTGTTAAAATGGCATTCCTGAGCTAAAATTAACAAAAGCAAAAAGTTGGATTACATTACTCTAACAGTACATGTCTATGGGATCAAGGTTTTAGTTATCCTTGCATTTAATCAGTAAAGTAATAACACTTTTCTATTACTGTCGTAAATCCTTTGATTTTAACAGAGCTAATTCAATGTTACAGCACTATGTGAAAAGCAACAAAACTGCAACAAATGATTACAGGGTAAATGAAAACCTGTACAATGGATGTATTTATTAGTCATTTTCTTGAGGTCTGGCAAACAATTTATGGACTGCAGGGCAATTTTACCTACTATAGTGAGAGAGGTTTTTCATTCTTGCAAATGTATCCTCCAGTGACAATAAATATACACCTATTGTTGTGCTAGAATCAGTAGCATGACTGCAAAAATGGCAGTCTTTAGTGAAAATAAGTATATAATTAAAGATTTATATAATAAGACTCTACTACCCTGTTAACTCTGCCTAAACATCCAATATAATGTTCTCTGCTAAGAATGACACAAAAATGACTCAATAAATATACTAAATAGCCTGTTCACCAACACTTAAATTTTTCAGTTTGAACATCAAATGATTAAGACAGATTTATGTCTCTGAGATCACATGGCATTAAAAACCAGACCTACACCTAGTGTAGTGTGTTTCAACCTCACACTGCACTAGTTTTATATATTTCAGTAGTGAGGTATACCATGTATCTCTGACACTTCAAAAAATCACTTTTTAAGACCCCAAAAAAGGAATAACTGCTATCTGAACTAACAAAGACCTGTACTAGAATGCATGGGAATAGTGAGAAACACCTGTTCCGTGTTTTTCCACGGACTAGTAGAAATCAACACTACAAAAAGCCATACCTGTTTTGAAGCTTAAGGAAGTTTCTTAACTTACATTGAGGAAACTATCAAATGTTTCTTGTTACACTCTTGGACGAAGACTTTGAAAGTACTCCTGAAAAAAATATCTATGCATAACCAGGCCTCCTTAAACTTTTAAAAGCACATTATTAAATACTTTTTTCTTTCCTTGCTCTTACAGACACCAACAATTTTACCTGGAGTCCTGACAACAGCATATTCTGGGCATCCTACCGGAACCGAGGTTTTACAGCCTGGTCTACATGAAGGTAGGTGCTTATTTGCACACATACAAAGACTTTTCAGCCAGTTGGCCAATAACAGTTTCTCAAAGAGAATTCTTCAACAGAATTGCTATAGAAAACTGCACTTCAGAGAATCCAAAAATCTCACAGAAAAGAAAGTCTTGCTAAAGGTAATTAAAAATATAAATACTTTAAGCTTTCACTGCAAATTGCATCTTCAAGATGCTTATATCAATTAACCATGAAACCAATATGGAAAGCAGGCCTTTTTATTTCACAAAGCTTGAATGCTTGAAAAGCTTTTAAAACCACCTTTACAGGTGCACAAAACATTTTGGGCAAAGCTGGACGCCCACCCCTCACTCCACCCTCAATATCAAAAGGGATTTATTTCTTTGCTGAAGGGACAGACAAAGAGAAGTTCGTTTTCAGAAAGATACAATTCATGGAATATTCTAAAAAATGGATCAAAGGTAGGCTCCACTGGTCTTAGGAAAACTCAGATCTGAGTTTCCAAGCAGGAGCAGGTTCTCTCTGCAAAATACATAAAAATAACTGAAAAATACTGTTGTGTGACAGAAAAGGGGCAAGGACAGATGTCAAACTAAAATAAGTCCAAGTGCACATAAGTACACTTGGTAGGGTTAGGTTCATGATTGAAGTCAATGATCTTAAGGGCCCCTTCCAATCTAAATGATTCTATGATTCTCTCAAACGGTCTGTTAAAAAAACCACTACTTTAAACAAAATAAATAATTTACATTCTTGAGTATTAGGACCTAACTAACAGTTTGACAATGCTGCACCATGAGTTTGAAAAGTCTTTTTCATGTATAACTAGTGCTTTCCTAATATATGTTTTCTTGCTTTCTCAGGATTTTCTGTATCTGTGTGAATCTTGTGAATGTCTCAAAATTCCTGAAAAAAAACATATCTCAGCAAAGAGCAGTCAAAGTCTTGAACACAGCTGGACAGTTCTGAGCACTCCAAGTGTCCTCTGATCTCAGTGGTTATACCTCTGGTCAAGACATCATTCCCCTACCAACATCTTTTCCATCATTAGATTCCAAAATACTTTAATTATTACCCTTATGTTACAAATGGATTAAATTACACAGATCTCAGGTTACTAACTTACACACCTGTGAGTAGGGAACAAATTAAGCAATTTTTTTCCTCTTTGTCCCACCCATGTTCTTGCTACAAAATGCAACACCTCCCTCAGGCAGAGAGAAAAATTGAGTAACACCCCTTCCCTTTCTTCCCCTCCCTACCTCTTCATCAGGCTTTTCTTTCTTGCCGCCTTCTGTCTATATGCCTTTAAAAAAAAGAGCAAGATGGTTTTACAATTAAAACCACAAATTGCATTTTATGCACATGAATTACGCTCCTGTAAAAAATAAATATCTAGTCTCTAGAGAACTTAATTCCTCTTTAGGCATCTTTTGTTTCTTTGGCAGAGAAGCTCCATGTTTTGTTGCTTCAGAACTTCAGCAGGTATGTCCACGTGGTGCTGTTCTACATGATAGTAGTACAACCAGTTCAAGTCAGGGTTAAGCTCAAGGATCACTACAGCCACACTGAGCTCCTATCTCTATAAGTTCCTCAATTAATATTCTCTTTGTTTAATTTAAGTGTTCCCTTTGCTTTACTTTGGTTTTTCTCATCTCATATTACTCCAGATGTCTCCATATTCATTTGGCTTTTCAAAATTTCAAAAATAAAAACGTAAGAAAAATTCAGACATTATAAGTTAAAACTGAAAAAAAAAGATGCAGTATGAGCATATGGAAAACAATCTTCCATGGTCTTCTGAAAACAGTCATTATTGAAGAAAGAAATCAAGAATCTGCCTACAACCCCATGACCTTTCCAGTTATTAAACTCATTTAGACTATCAGTTTGTGAACTTTCAGGGACACCGGCTCTCCACGTAGAGCAGCAGATCCCAGGCTTTCTCACTGACACCTCTCCTTGCAGACCAATAACCTGGTTTTCAGTTGGAAGTCTTACTACTTCTGCAATCAAATTTATGCTGAGCTTTTCATCATAGCTGGGATTGCAGTATCTTATTTGGAGTTGCTAACATAATGTACTTAATTTGAGGTGCCCACCTCAAAGTCTTTAGCTTTCCTTCTCACAATAAAACCCCACACAATCAATGACAAAAATCTTACAGACTATGCTTTCAAAACCATATGGAAACATCTGTAGTGGGCAGAAGAGGTTTTAGACTACCTCAAGAGGCAACACAAGGAGTCAGCTTACACACAGCAAATTCATCTGACATTGGCTATGGTTCACAGAACCCCAGAAATACATGGGGCCCATTTGGGTTCAGTATTGTGAAGCAATTAGCACTTCCAGTTTAGATCGTAAGGTCAGTGTGGAAACAAACAGGCAGCTTAGTGCAGAATCAGCCTGGACGCAGAAAGCCACTATGGATGCCAAATTAATAAACCCTGATGGGTCTCTGCAGTCCTGCTTAGGTGTTCCTGCAGTATCCAGGTAACCCAACTTCTGTCCCCATTGCATCAGATAATGATGAACTGTCTACATGCAATATGTCTTTGAACTCTTAAGTAACCAGTCCTGTTACTCTTTGTTATATGGCATATCATAATATATAGATGCATGATGCTCTGAAAATAACTTCAGATCATTAATAGCTTCTGATATGCCCTGCCAACTTCATAGGGGAATCTGAGACAACTTATTCTTTTTGGTAAAAAAGTAAATAAGACTTGAAAAATCAAAAAGATGCTTTCTACTAAGCAAAAGAGTTAGCTTTTGGCCAATAAAAATTAGCATGAAGAAATTAAAAAAAGATGAAGAATGAAATAAATGAACAATGGAGAATGCTTTTAAAAAGTACAAACCCCAAAATATTTTCAATTACCAGCATGATGTGTTTCACCAAGAGGCTCAAGTTTTCGAAGTCTATTAAGTTTGGGAGTTCCCCAGCCAACTAAAGAAAAACAAAGACAGTCAAAACACACCAAGACTGCACCTGATTCTGATGAAATGTAGGGAAGCCAGTTCTCTGGGAGAAATCAAAGCATTTAGAAATGCCAGAAGCATGTAATATATTGTATATATGGTGAATAATGATGAAACGCTTTAAAAATAAACGGATTTACCATTAAAAATATTGATATTTTTAATGACTTTCATCAGTAAGTAGTCAAGTCTCTGACTCTTTTTTTTGGAAAACAACAACATCTTCCCCTGTGTGGAATGCATCAGATCAATACTGCTGAAAGTTCAGACCACGAGGTGTGAAATAGCATCAAGGATTTCCTAAGGTTTAGTAGCATATCTCTGTATGAAAACCATTCCAGTTTTATCATTCACAAATGATTATTTTAAAGGCTTGATAACCACCAATTGAGACATCAATTATTGTTTGTTAGCACACTTACCTGGTGGAAGAGCTGGTGGTGGCGTAGGAATTTTGGGAACAGCATCTTCTCCATTAACAGGTTCTACTCTGTGGCCCCTTTTTAATTTTGGTTTTTTATTTTTTTTCTTACTGTTATCTATATTAAACAGAAATATAGTACAGTTATATTCAGAGAATATGTTACATCATCTTTTAATACAATTGTTGGGGTGAGATGCATCAGGATTTTCAGTCCAAACAAACACAAAAGCATGTGAAATGTGAAATTTACACAACATTTTGCTATAGAAGATAAACTGTGAGTATAAAATATATGCAAACTCTATGTTTTAACAAAGAAATTCAACTTAGCTTGATAGTGACAGAACATGGACCACATGTTCGATTATGATAAAAATGAACCTATTTTCAGCTACAGTATCAGTCACATCAACAAATACACACTTTTTTGAAACAGATTTTTCCAATAAAATAACCTAATGGTGCATTTTTATGTTTTCAATAGATTAAACTGATGTGTGGTATCATGAAAAATAATACAGAAAGCGGGAAGAACTATGTGAAAAATAACATGAAATGACACATTAAAAAGAAGCAGTTGTACCTGAGTCAAGGCATTCTGAGGCTTGCTGCTCATTCACTTCTTCATGCAGCAAAAGCTGTGTAGTTGTAGAATTGCATGTTTCTAGTCTACTATCATTTGTATTTTGGCTACTGCTACTTGAGAAGTGCCTGGCATCTACTTGTTCTTGCTCTGTTTGCGATTTCAAGACAATTGTAGCCTTTTCAGTCTCCAACCTTTGCCGCTTCTTTTCCTTTTCCATTTGTTTTTCATTCTAACAAAAAGTAGAGGATTTTTTTTAACAACTTCTAATGTTGTAAACTGATTAATAGGACTAGAAAGTTATTTTTAAAATCAAAAATATTCCTAAAATATTTTTATGTCCCAAAGCTAGCATAGAAAATATTTTCAAATAGGTGAAGAAATTTTATTTCCAATATCCTACCCAGAGAAAATGGGAAAACAAACAAAAAAAGATTAACAGCAAAAGAAATTATCTTCAGGTTTATAGACTGTTTTCTTGCTTTCCTTTTGATCATATGGCAAAAAGAAATGCTAGCTATCAACATCAACAGTGAAAGGTTCAAAAACTCCTAATTTCTTCCTCTTCACTTATCTTTTTTTTTTAAAATGTTTTAGTTAAAAATAAATACATACGTACAGAGTTTAAGTATCTAGAAAGTGCTGCCATGATTTGGACAAATACCAATTGCATCACACAGACTCAAAGACAGGCTGTTTCACAAGCTCTATACCACTAAATCACCATCTCTGCAAAAATCACAGCTCTACCCTTCTCTTCTTACTTACATAACTTATATGTTATTATAAAGTGTATTATCGTGCGTGTAGCTGACTTTGCAAGATATATGGATATGGGCGCTTTTGTCTTAGAGAGAAGCAAATGTTTGAATTACTGGAAAAGTCTCAGAGTTTATGTGTTTCTTGAGATTACATTATCTCAAGTCAACTGAATAAAAAAATACAGTACAATAAATAAGAACTACCTGAACTCAGAAACAGAGGTTAAGGAAACTTTATATATTAATGTTTTTCATATTGCAAAGCTAAGAAAACTTCTCAATTGTCTCAGTTTTCAACAGAAAACAGGTTATGCTCAGAAATCTAAATAGTTGATGTAGTCAGTGATATTTTATGACTCACTACATCACTAAAACATTTTACAAGAAACTAATAGACCTTGAATATTTTTCAGTCCTGAATATCCAATAGTTTAATTAGGAAATGTGTTCAGTCATCTGCTTACAATACCCTTATTTTACTGTGGCTACAGATTTTTTTGCCACCAAATCAGTAAAAGGGGATTTTCTTAACACGAAAGCATTGATTCAATGCACACAATACTGTACAGACAGACTTAGAATAATTCTTTTAAATGAACCATTTCCTCATTACCTCTCAGACATTTGTTAGCAGTAGGTCTAAAACAATCCAGGTTTCCACATATTCTCATACCTCAGAGATAACAGCAGCTATAGGCTGGAAGGGGTTTTCAGAGTTCCCAGGCTCAGGGTCTTCCTCATCAGGTGCACTTCTTCCTTCTTCTCTTTCCCTTTGTTGTTGTTGTTGGGTTTATGTTGTTGTTGTTTTAGCAGTTTGGGGATTAGGTTTTTTTGAGAGAAGTAGGGGGAGAGAGGGAGGGAAGGGAAGAGAGGAGATGAACAAAGAAATACGAAGAAGCCAAGCCATTAATTTTATATAATAGCAAACACTTATTAGGTCATCTAACTCTCCTCCAATTTATGTCAGCTGATTTTTACAATATGCTTCTGTATTTTGAAAAACATTCTACAGAAATCAGAAAGATAGACTAACATCAATAAAGCACAAGTATATTTTATGGCAGAGGTTGAAAAACATGCTTCAATGTGCCAGAATGTTCAATCAGCACTTCAAGAAGTGGAAGCAATTTCTGAGGACAGGACATGGGACAGAATACATGACAGAATACATCTGTAACAGAAGGGTTTTGAGTGTTCAACAGTATGCTAAAATTTTCACACTGGTAATCTTTTATATCTGTAGTTTCAAGGTATTCAATCATTTAAAAAAAATAATCTATGTGGTGGGAAACCAGACTATCTAAAACCTTCTCTTCTATTTTTAATACACCTCCATTTCTCACAATTCTAGATTCTTCTTAATATACATAAGGGAGAGCTGGTGCCAGACTGTTCAGTTTATGTAGTAACAGTTAGGGAATCATATTTGCTTCAACAGAAAAGTTTGGGAAGACACATAATCCTCAGTATGCTGTTGTTGCACCAGCACTAGTTATTTTTTATGTACTAGATTTCTATGTAAGAAATATTAAATGACTAGATATTAAATAATGTATCATTAATAAATTATATGCTCATTAAACACTTTTCCTCAATCGATCTGACAGAACTTGCGCAGAGGAAGTCACTGTAACACCGACTTTACAGCTGCAAGTACTGAGAGAGGCAGTAACCCCACTGTTTGGAGGCACAGATGGGAATGCAAAGGAGGTCACCGATCTGCCCATGAAACCACACTTCTTTGAAAGAACGGCCAGACTGTGTTAAAACCTATTGGCACTACTTCTCTCTGGTCTTCCATTTGAAACAAGATCATCTCTACTAACATACTGTGGAGGAAATGCACTTTGAGAAAACATTCAGGGAAGCAAATCTGAACAAAAAGCCACCTGGGGAGTTATTAAAGCACATAATGAAACAGAATTACACTTGAATCAAGAATAACCTGTTTCTTACAGTAAGAAATTGATTTGATGCAAAACAGCAAGACAAGAGTTAATGCCATCTCTTATATCTGAGACAAGTCCTCAGCTACAGGTAAAACCAGTGGAATTTACCAGTTAGCATTCTCCTAAGACACAGGGAGAGTTTAGCAAAACCTTTAAGCCTTTAATCCAAATTAGACCTAACCAATTCTTCCAGTGAATAAATACAATCAAGATCACTGCGTGGGAACAAAATATATGGAAAATGCCCATATCATCAGATAATCTCTTTGAGACAAGTTTCAAAGTCTGTCCTCCTTGCTACACCTCTCAACGTGGCATAAATCCAACACAATCCAACATGATCAGAGGGTTTTGTCTATGAAGAGATACCTGGCACACTAACAGCATATGCATTTTTTAAATAATTTTGTGAAATACATATGAGGACTGTGTCAAATTCCAGGTGTTTAAAATGTGCTTAAGTAATTTACTTGCTGAAGTAAACCAAATCAGCAAGAGTACAAGCCAAGGCACTTCACAGTAGCTTCATAGTTACTTCTCACAGTAACTGAGATGCACAAATCTCTGCATATGTAAGGCAGATGGGGGAATGGGCTGCTCAGTGAATTTTATAAGAATGCCCCAGTACAATGATTCACATCAGTCTCTAATGGGAATCATGGTGGGCTGCTGACCACAAAGGGTTTTGAAAGGAAGTAATAAAATCACTTGTTCCATCTCCCCTTGGACTGTAAGTTTTAAATCTTTGACAGTTTAGTTCCCATAAGCTCCCTGGACAGGAATGAATCAAGTGTCTTAGAGAAAGGGAGGAAAGGGAGGTAGAAGAAATTACAGAGAGAATACCTTTCTTCTCGTATCCTTCTCACTCGCTCAGCTCGTTCTAGTTTCTTTTGTTCTTCATATGCTTTTTGTTCTGTAGTGTCTCTTTGGATGCGCTCGTTTAAGGCATCAAAATCTTTTGCTATGATATGTAGAAGCCAAAATAAACCCTTTTTTATTGATTTATCAATTTTTTTCCCACAGCCCATGACAGCTGAGCAAGGTTCCTGTAAATATAAGGAGGAGGAGAAAATTATTTGCAGTTCAGATCACATTCCTTGACTGAAAACAAGAAATCAGGCCAACTACTGTTTACTCTGAAGCTTGCAAAACATTGAGAAGTATAGGAAATAAATTTGCATTTAGGTATTCTATAAATTTAGATGCTTTTTTTGCCAAGAGAAATACCATCTTAGTTGTACGAAATTCCACTATTTCCAGTCCTTTTCCAAAAAAACTAGAATACTGCACAGAAAAAGATATTTGTGTGTTTATCTCTAAATAGGCATATATATACATGTTACATATACACCTGCTATGTGTATATATATTTACACACCTGTTTCTATACACATCCATATCTATGCATCTATATAGAAATACAATTTATCAACCTCAAATATGTATGCTCTGTTCTGCTGCTGCTTTATGGTAGCCTGTGTTATATTTATCTAGTAAAATGGAAAAGACGAGATGCAAGAGAATCAGCTTAACTTCAGTTCATGAAAGAAATGTTAGATTTATTCATAAACACCTACAGGATAAATAAAATCCAGCACGACTCTGTCAGAAAAACTGTCAAACCAATTCAATTTTTTAGATCAGAACAGGTATTGTGGATAGGAGTCCTTGATTGGAGTAAAACTTTTATCATGCTATTACCATCACCAAGCAAGAGAAACATGATCAATGCACATCTAGGGGAAGATGGGTACAAAAGCCATAACCATTCAAGGAAGTGGATTGACTGGAAAGAATCAAGAAGAGCATAGTGAGAAAAATCAGACAAAATGTGTTATGAACACACAGCTGCTAAGAAAACATCGAAGGAACAGGAGCGGTTCCTCTATTGAGATGAGAAAGCATCAAGGAGAGGATAATAGCATTTAAAAACATGAGGTGTATCTGCAAGTAGGAAAAGAATAATTTGCTCTTCATATTCATAGTCAGGAGGACAAGTACGATCAGCTGTTAATTGGAACAAAAAAGATATAGCTTGATTCTAGTGTAGAACATGGAAAAGGATGAGATGACCTCTCAAGATCTTTTCAGAACTATTTTCCAGAATGCTTTGGAGCACCGTATGCTCTCAAACTGTTTTCTGAATAACAGCTAAATAGATCCAGCTACGTATTTGACATGAAGAAATCAGAGAAATAATCCCATACACTGATACAGGTTAGGGGCTGTTCCCTAGCAGAACCTAATCAAGGAGAAGATCTGTAGGCAATAATACCCTGTTTCTCTGAGAAAACTAAGATAAAACAACAGACAGCACCTAGGCAATTTTCTTCTAGGTTTGCAAAAGGATTATTGTTACTGTAGTTCAGTTATAAAATATAGAGATTTAGAATTTTAGACTATATAGACATATAAAAAATGATGAATGACATTCGCACTAATATTGTGTGAGACAAATTACTCTTTCCACTTGCTTTAATATTTTGCAGGAAAATTTAAAAGATGCAGAAGAAAACTAATTATAAGAACAAACAAAAGGTTTTTTTAGTCATTGTCTAATTTTATCTAAATCTTGTTTCATAATACCCCTGCTTAAATTCACCCCACAAGTCATCATACTGAAACATGTTGGGACCTTCAATGAGCCTAGTAAAGAAGTTGCCCATTTGAGTACATGAGACTCTGAGCTGCTTTCAGCTAAAATGACTCCAAATAGGTGACCTAGTTTCTTTGCTGATTACACCCAGGATATAAATGGAGTACAAGAACAGCATTTTACTGGAATATGTCATAAATTAAGTAATTCTAAAGTATTGGAAAAATACATTAGAATTGTTCTGGTCTTTTCTTTTTTGCCACAGCAGTCCCTCAGAAAAAAAACTCTGAACTTGCAATTTTTATTTTTATGGTTGCTATATGCATAGTGCAAAATCCACTGACTGAAAAGCCCTCAAAGAGTCATGATTATAGCTAAGCCCTACTATTACCTAACCACCTAGAGAAAACAATTACTATATGTACCACCCTATGACTTTTGCAACTCTCTTTAGGGAATTAAAAGTCTTTTTTAAATTTTAAAATCCAAATACCAGATGAAATCGTTTTACAAAATTGCCTTCTAGTTTTGTTAATAACAGCATAACTCTCATTACCTTTTAAAATGTTTCTTATTGTAATTAGAAAAAGATTATAAAAGTAAAGCCCACAAATAGTTAACTAACAAGCTGGTTGATTAAAACAAATGCTTAAAGTAAACTTCAAGGACTAGTGGTTTGGATAAATTACCTGAAATATTGACCAATATTAAGTAGCCTTCATATAGATTTCTGGGTTTGGCTCCTCCCCCCCCTTCTCCTTTTTAATTTATTTTTTTTTAGCGTGACTGTGAATGCTACAACTGAAATGTAGTTATTTTAGGACAGATATTAACTAGCACTAACAGTGCTCTCTGATGACTACTGTGCTGGGAATTAGATGCACTGGGAATTAGATTAAGTTCTTACTGTTTGCCAGATGGTAGCTCACACTAAATGATGGTTTTAGCTATGAACAGAAATGAGACAATCACATGTGAACAGTGATCCTTCCTGAATGTCAACAAATTCTATTTTCTGCTTCTTTTTTAAAAAGCTGGAATACTAAACTTGTGTTCCAACTGAACAAGATTTAAACCACATCAGTAATTTATTTTTCTTAAATGGTTTCAGAGTGGACTAGCAGGTACACTTTGAGAACCTTACAGAACGTCAAGGTGAACCATAGAGTTGCTTGCAAAACAGACATATGTACAGTACCTTTGCTAAGGTTGCAAGGTTCTAGTTTCAGTTTTACACCATGTGGCACAATCCCTCACCTTATTGCAACCGTTACATATATATATGAGAAAATGAAGCATTTTAAAATATACTTACAATTTGACATAGACACTTGTGTTCATTGACAAGCTTTTCCAGAGATAAGGATTCAATTACATCTGCTTCTGACAGAGCTCCTTCTCTGTCCTGCTTATTTGCCAGCCTAAAGAAAAGATCAAAAGAAACACTTAGCACCCTGATGAGAGAGATTCTCACACCTCCAAAAGCTAAGTTTTTGACAGAACTTGGAAGAAGAGGGAGGAGAAAGTAAAAATAAAACACCTGGTTTCAGTTTTAATTCTTAATTGTTCTTTCTACTTAATAAACATGTTAGTCCATCCACTATATTCAGCAGATACTAGTATTAAATAATTACTAAGCACCCACAGAAAAAAGCACTTACATTTTACAGCTAAGAAGATGGATGTAAAAGACTGCACTGTTTTACGTCTGAAGCTACACAGCACAACCTGATGGAGCCTATGAATCAAAGCTCAGAACTCTGCAACTTCCCCATCCATGTGCATTTCCCACAGAACATTGCTTCATGATCAACCCTTCCACTGCCAGAGAACTTTGATTCAACTCTATGAATAAAATCATAAATATTTGGCTTCCATTAATGCAATGGCAGATGGTTTTGGAACCATCTTCTGACATCTCAAGTCATGGTCAAATGGCTTTTAAGGAATGTTAGGCCAAGGCTTGTACTTTGGATTTATCATACTCCTTGCAGGGAGGGAACAACGGAAGGAATTCACTCCATATTTAGCAGAACTTGTCAGCACCTTAGTTCAATCTAAGACCTTATTCCTTCTCATTTTCCAGAATCACAGTGCTATACCTCAGTTCTTAATTATTTTACTCCCAACAGAGTTTTTAACCTCAAAGAGACATTAAAAGAAAAAGCTATCTTGCATCTACAGCTTAAAAAAAAATTCCTTGTCACCATTAACCTCACAAGTCAGATTCATTATCTAGTCTTTCCTTTCAAGTAAAGTTCACAAAGGAAACCATGGAGACAGCTTCTCAAATATCCATTCTCACTCATTCTTCATCAGTCTTAAGAACTATTGGCTGTCCAAAAGGTTCACATATCAGCTTGGGGATAAAAACCCCTACATCCTACTGATGATCAACTTTTCTGACTTGCCTGCAGAGCTATAAGGAGCACAAGGCTTTTCCCACCCAGCCCCTGCTTTGATAATCCATTCCTATTTCTCAACAAAAAGAAAAACTCTACAGTACTTTGTACTGTATCTGATTTAGTGCAGAAATTCCCTAACTGGTGTTCAATGCATATACAGAAGCTATGACATTTTCCATATGCTTATGATACTCCAGCACTATTCCTTCCCACCAACCAGCTGGGACAAGTATTGTCCTCTCAGTATTTGAGCCAAAGCTAAACCAGCAAAAAACTGAAATTCAAAAGAGCTATGGAAAGTAATTAGAACTGGAAACAATTATCTCCACTTTTTTTTTTTTTTTTTCATTTAACCTATCTTTGTCACAATCTGAAAATCCTACCGCACTGCCCCTTAATCTCAAAAAGCAGTCCTCAGCAGTGCTGTCAATTCCTATCTAGATCTAACTGGAGAAAATATTTCCAAACACACACTTTGTTGCCACAGCCTATTCCTTTCTCACCTCAGGATTAAATAACTGCAATATTTACTGTTATCGGACTGCACATTCTACAAAGCACAGCTGAAGCAGAAGGAAATGTTGGTAAACTGCATAGCTCAGCGTGAGCGTGACACTAATGTTCTATAACTCGCAGTGGCTGCTGATTTTTAACCTCTAATATCTTGAAAGGTGTAAGACTTGTCGTTTTGGTCAATTAGCTACCATTTTCTCCACAGCACTCCTGTTGCAATATTGACTGTATTCTATAAAATACAGCTTAGTTGTTGTATCTGGAAAAGTAGCATATCCAAATAGCTGTCTCCACCTTATGCTCCCCGAGATCTGAAGTGGGATGGCACAGGTTGTACATTTCCTCCTGTACACCCCTGACCCTGCCCCCTGTTTACCCGAAAGGCTTCAGCCTTTAGGTCAAACTTATACATGGAGTTCAAATATTTTGAAGGTACTGATATACTATGATATAGGGTATTATTATGCTGGATTTTTTTTTTCCCCCTTTCAAGTCAATGCATGAATTACTTAGCCTTGCTTCCTTTTTCCTTTGTGCTACAGTGCAGAAGACAGCAACCCCTGCACTTCCCTTTGGGGTCCCTGGGCAGGCAGTGCTCCACCTGCACCTCCCAAGGCCTCTCTCTACCCAGGGAGCTGCTCCCAGACACTTCCTGCTCCTGGGCAGCTCCAGCAGCGACCCGCCTCTCAGCGAGGCTGGGTTTCAAACAGGCAGAACCAGATTCCCCAAGTAGAAAGTAATCAATTTGCCCGTCTACTGCAGTTGGAGAAGTCAGTTTCTCTCTCACACCACCGCTCCTGAAGATGAACCCTTGGACAATTAATTAAGAGCCAGAAGCAGAAGGCACGCAGAAAATACCGCACGGAATGCCGCTCAAGAGACATTACTTAGGCAAATATTTGAAACAATGCTTCTCAGATTATACCGAAGCTTACCCTCAGGAGTTCCTCTGTAAAGGATAAACGAGAGAGCCACCAGCACAAGATTAAAAGGTAAAGGCTTTTCTTTTACTTAATGTTTATAAAGTTGCAAATATCTGAAAAAGGCTGTGTTGCGTGGTCTAGAATGGTAATGTGCCTAAGTGTCAAGGCATACAAATAATGGATGTCTACCCTCCAAAGAATTGGGTATTTCTCTGGGTGAATATAGTCTCAGAGCTCTGCCGCTCATGCACAGGAATATTAGGTTTTCAGGCAAGTTTTATGCATAAAACTTTCTTCTTTAGGGAATACGTCGGAGTTAACTTAAAGGATAGACCTTGATTTTAATTTTCCAAGTCAGTAGAACTTCATATATAGCAATTTTTCATGTTTAAAAACTGTAGGAGGTATATATCAGAATATACTTGAAAGCACAGAAGAGTGTCTGTTGGTTTATCATATTAAGTTTGCTGAGAGAGAAGCTTTCATATATAAAATCATGCTTGGCTTATTTCAATTTCACATAAAGCATATTTGGAACCTTCTTAGTGTAACAAACTTACTTTATACAAGAAATAAAGTAAAGGTAGGCATCAACTGCTTTTATATCAAGCAGGATTTTTTTAAGCAACTAGAGAGCTTTTGAACTTTATTTTAAGAGTCATGGGAAACAATGTGGAAAGGGAGTGTATGTGTGCATTGGCACAACTGACATCTACAGTTCAGTAACAATATTTCTCTTAGAAGCCAGAAGACATACCAGAGAAAAACAAAGTCTGAATGCAAACTATGTGTGCTCCTTGACCTGTTTCTAAAATATAAATTATTGATCAAAGAGGAATAAAAAAAAATAATCAGTATTAAAGTTTACTTCGCAATCCGCAAGATCTGGTGAAAAAAAATCCAGTATAAAAAGGACACATTTGTATCTCAGCTTTCATCAAAAATCCAAGAGGTGTTACAGAAAGGGTTTATTTGAGAAGAGGGTATTTTGTGTGAGGGTATGTGCGTGCATGTGTTTTTGTTTTCTTGTTTTGCAGAGTTGGAAGGGGTTTTTTAAATCACTGTTACTTTTCAACTTACACATTCCTCAACACTTGTGTAAGATTCTCATACAGCAACATAACACTGAAACCTAAATACTGCAGAGGGTACACATTGTAGGGGGAGGGGGGGTAACCTGTAGAAGTGTCTCAGAAGTGCTGCTTTTGGAGTTAAGTTTAATCAGAATCAGTTACACAAACCCATAATTTTGGGTCAAACCTGCATGGTGGCCACGAAAATTAACAAAGAGCAAAGCATCCCTGGAGTCAAAATATTATAGTATCAGAACTATCAACATGATTAAAAGTAACTTAAGGAAAATGTATATTTATGAGAATGGTTTATATAAGATCAAGAATATTAGCCTTTAAGCTACTTCAAGAAGCCATAGCTTTGAGTGACTGAATTAGCATTCTGGGGAAAACGAAGAGAGAACTTTTGAACTTAACAGCAGCCTAACACAAGTGAAAGAACAATGTCATATTCTTCAGTCTACAGTCCATCTTCTATTTAAAAATGCTGTTCTACCTTTTTTTCCCTTCAGAAATTTCATCTCTCATCTATTAACTTTTTTTCTTGGGCAGTCTGGCGGACAGCAATCAGGAGGATGTTTTATCCTAGAGAAGCGAGGCCTCAGCAGATACAGCAAGAAAAGGTTTGTTAGTCTCTTTATGCTGTGCTTATGTTAACATACATGAAAGAAACTCCTGATCTACAAACAGGCAGAAAGACGTCAGTTTGTCAGATTGTTTTGTTTGTTCTTTCCTCTTCAGTTACTGGCAGCTCATTGGCTTTTGGAGGAAGTCACAGAAAACAAAATTCTTGCTATTTTTAACAAACAAGGAGACAGGAGGACCAGCCAACAGTTTCAGGCCTCCCATGGAGGACCTAAGGCACTCTTAAGATTTAGCCCTGAGCCCCTTCTTTCCACGGACTTTACCCGGATTGCTTTAAAAGCTTCTAACTACACGTAAATAATCCAAATGGTGGGTGTTAACAGATCTTAAATTACATTCTTCTTTAGCACTCTAAACCCCTGCTCCTTCTGGATTGTTGACCATTACAAACCAATCAGTAACTTTTTACTGCTTGACACTAGGCTCTTTCTCTACTTGGCTTATTTCATTTCTCTAGTTTGCTTTTCACAGCTTCAGTTCTTATGTAAAACAATCCTTTGACTACTAAGGTAAGCTATAACGATAAATTGCTACAAGATTGTCTGCCTGCAAGCATCAATTAAGAGTTTGCTTTCATGCAGTTGCAGGGAGAAAGGCAAGACATTTCTCTAACGCAGTCTTTTCCCTAAACAGTTCCTCCAGGTCACAATTAAATAAAAGAACAGTAAGAAATAAGATTCTAAACTCATCCTGTTTATAATATCTCTAGGCAACTCAAGAGCAACTTCATTCTCATACTGCCTTTTGAAGTGGTCACAAGAACATCAACAATTAGAACTTGTTTCATTTTGGTTAAGTGGCCTCATTCTTACCTCAGGTCTGAATCATGTTCCTGTTTACCGAAAGCGTATTTCTCTGACACACTGCTCTGCTATCAGTTTAATCATACCTATTGATCAAACAGCCTGTATCCAGAGAGATGTCTGAGCTCACGTCAAGAATATTATGTTCAGCTTCCAGATGTGTAATTCCAAAAGCAATGGCAATAAATGTTATTGCCATATATTTTTGTATGAGATTTTAAAAAATTGTAAATATGAATTTTTTTCTTATACTCTATTTCACCTTGATATATGAATACCTAGGCAAACACTAAGTTATTTAGTCGAAGTTGCCTGTAAGATATGTTTTTAAAAAAATGGCCTGGAAATCCTCACATTCATTACAGGTGGGTTCCAAGGCTGCGATACGTAGCTATACGGACTGACAGAGATGAAACGGGAATGTAAAGTAGGTGGAATATTACAGTAAAAATTTGAGCCTGCAATTCTACTGTCAGGAAGACAAAAATCTTGAAACTGATTTATAGCAATACAAAGTCGTTAACTAGGTCTTCAAGCTATATATTCTTTTAAATGGAAAGAATTTGACCTGTTCTCTATCCTGGTGCAGCCTTTTCTCTTGCTCCTAATTTATTGTCAAATACTGCTTTACAAATACATCAATACCTGGACCTTAATTATGTTATCCTTTGGCAGAGGAGATTATGATTTTCTTTCTGGATTTCTGTGACCTATAGGTGGCCATCATATTTGCACCAGCTAATTAAGTGAAGGTGCTGATTTCCAGTATTATTCTTGCTGGAAATAAACAAAAACTCAGGTACCTACATTTACTTCTCTGTACTGCTCATTTCTGAGGTCTCTTAAAGAGCACTACTGACTGTAAATGTCTGGTTGAATAGGTGAAAAAACACCATGAAAACATTAAATAAGTTCTTCAATTTTGCTTTTAATCAAGGGATACTCCAATTCCCTTACTAATTACAGAGAATAATCTACAGACTAACTGATTTACAGAGTGAGATCATTGTTTTGTCAGTCAGGAGCTGTACGTAGGTGCAGTATGCGTCACTGTAACTGTGACTTATGTCAGTGCAAAAGCATGAACTCACCACCTTCCATTACCCAAAGTATTGGTAGGGAAATGAGAATTGCTGTCTGTAGACATGGAAATAGATACTTTTCTTCAAGCAGCCACACATTCATAACAAAGGTTCCAAAGCTTCAAGGAACAATCTCAAATTTGCTACTGATTCACGGTGCATCTTTGAACCAAGTACTTCATAGAATAGCACAAAACTCCATGTTTTTCTAATTGGAACGTAAAGGAAGTACTGACAGTTGCAAAGATTTCGAAAGAATAAAAGCTTGTAGTATGGATGATTCACAAACTGCTGTATTCTCCCACTCCACTAATGCTAAAGTCTATACCTTGTGTTTTTCCTTTCTCTTCTTTCTCCAGATTCTTTCCTGTACCATGCAACACCACACAATCAACACAAGACAGCCACATCTCCTACAACATGATTGTGGTACAGATTTCTGGCCAAACACCCAAGAATATCTGACTTAAATTTTAACTACAGTCTGTTTTCCCCCTCTACATCTCCCTTGCAGGGCATACTCCAAGCAGCATGATTTGGTTACACTTTTCCAGCAACTTTAGACTCATTCTTACCCATCTTATGAACTCCTTGAATACTCAAGACCAGTTTTATTCCATTCGAATCTCATGTTTTCACCCAGTATCAACATTTCTCCACCTCCCAGGATCTATTTCACACTAATGAGAGCGACTCCCAAGCTACCTTGCTTCAAAAGCACCGTTTATATGCTCCCACAGATTGGTCACTCTGGTTTCACTGGTAGCCTTCTTGGCAGTTAGGGTGGGTAACATTGTCTCAAGGGGACAAGCAAACAGTTTATATTTCCTCAACGTTGGTAGGCAATGCCAGAATCAACGTGCTACGGATTATTTCCCAGAGACAAAGGCTGACAAACGCAAACAGGCTTTGCATGATAGTATTTTTTTAATATTAAGAATAAGATACCCATTAGCACTTAGGTTCCCTGTGCTGAAAATGCTACTGATTTTGCACTACATGTCCTATATACTCTGATACAATTTAGCTACCTTCCACATATAATGACATCTATTTTTAGTCTCATAACCAGGGCAAGTTCTCTGCCTTTGGTATTTTCCTGTTCAACCACTCCCATACTTCCCACAAACAGAAACTTGAACTTAGAACTATTTATAAATATGTTTTTCCAAGGACTTATCATCTTAAGACAGAGATGCTTTAAGAGGATATGTTCATCCAACCACCTTGCTGTGTGATAATCCTTGGTTTAAGCGTGTTTGTTTACAAGGTATTTAAGTTAAAGGAAACGTCTTAAGTTAAAGGAAACTTCTTAAACAAAGGAGAAAATAAACATAACCTGTAGCAAGATTGCTCACTTGAGTTACTTAAGACATATCTTCGGGTAGTAGGGCAAGATTCCAAAACACCATTAAACAAGTTCCTTCTTCTTTTGTAAGAATATATGAGAGACCACAGCCTTTGGAGAAAACTGAAATTTCAACTCAAACTCCTAGTTTTCCTCACAGGCTACTACAAGTATCTTAAACTGTAGGCACTTAAATTGTACATGTCTCACTAATTTTTTGTGGCTAAACTTCAGACAATTAAAACGGTAATCAAGTTCCAAACCAGAGTATGATGCCAAACGTTACTCAGAGCCATTGTGCTCAAAAATAACAGTTATATGGGTTTGTTGGCACCATATAAGAGATATAATGCAACTTCACTGCAGCCTGGAAATTGGTTACAAAAATAATAATAAAAAACTATAAGATTACTTGTACCTTGAAATTCCTTTGGGACTTGTTGCCTGAAAGTGTCCTCTACCCAGTACCATTAATTGACTCATAACTCAGGAACAGGAAAACAAACTGACCCTTATTTTTGTTGCAATCATAAGTGCTACGGATTATTTCCCAGAGACAAAGGCTGACAAACGCAAACAGGCTTTGCATGATAGTATTTTTTTAATATTAAGAATAAGATACCCATTAGCACTTAGGTTCCCTGTGCTGAAAATGCTACTGATTTTGCACTACATGTCCTATATACTCTGATACAATTTAGCTACCTTCCACATATAATGACATCTATTTTTAGTCTCATAACCAGGGCAAGTTCTCTGCCTTTGGTATTTTCCTGTTCAACCACTCCCATACTTCCCACAAACAGAAACTTGAACTTAGAACTATTTATAAATATGTTTTTCCAAGGACTTATCATCTTAAGACAGAGATGCTTTAAGAGGATATGTTCATCCAACCACCTTGCTGTGTGATAATCCTTGGTTTAAGCGTGTTTGTTTACAAGGTATTTAAGTTAAAGGAAACTTCTTAAGTTAAAGGAAACTTCTTAAACAAAGGAGAAAATAAACATAACCTGTAGCAAGATTGCTCACTTGAGTTACTTAAGACATATCTTCGGGTAGTAGGGCAAGATTCCAAAACACCATTAAACAAGTTCCTTCTTCTTTTGTAAGAATATATGAGAGACCACAGCCTTTGGAGAAAACTGAAATTTCAACTCAAACTCCTAGTTTTCCTCACAGGCTACTACAAGTATCTTAAACTGTAGGCACTTAAATTGTACATGTCTCACTAATTTTTTGTGGCTAAACTTCAGACAATTAAAACGGTAATCAAGTTCCAAACCAGAGTATGATGCCAAACGTTACTCAGAGCCATTGTGCTCAAAAATAACAGTTATATGGGTTTGTTGGCACCATATAAGAGAGATATAATGCAACTTCACTGCAGCCTGGAAATTGGTTACAAAAATAATAATAAAAAACTATAAGATTACTTGTACCTTGAAATTCCTTTGGGACTTGTTGCCTGAAAGTGTCCTCTACCCAGTACCATTAATTGACTCATAACTCAGGAACAGGAAAACAAACTGACCCTTATTTTTGTTGCAATCATAAAAAAAAGTAAACAGTAGCTATTTCAGCAGAGGTGAAGAAAGGAGTCTGATGCAGAACACAGGCCATACATCTCAAAGAGCTCTTAAAGACTGAGTTCTGTCCCTTGCTTGTCTGCAAGTCCTCTTCTCCTGGTGGACCACAGTATGTTAAAATGAATGTAAGGCGGCATGCAAATTGCATCAAAGCTCAAGTAAAAACAGAGCCTTTTGTGTCAGGCATTTTAACGAAGGTGCTAGGTAACCAAGAAACAGTGAACAAAACTACGAAAATTAAAATAGACAGGAGGTTTTAGTAAGTCAGGGCGTGGGGAGGAAATAAAACAATTTATCAAAGCCAAAAAAGAAGCCATTAAATCTAATTACATCCAGTAATGGGAGTTCTGTATGATCAACTTACCTACTTCACATACCCATTTATGCCTTTTAACTTTATGCAGTCCAAATCCCATTTTTTGGATGGAGGCTCCCTGTTTACTGGGTCTACTGATAAATTAGATAAGTGGAAGAATATTCTATATGGCTGCCTTGCAATTAAGCAGAAGGACCTTTCAACCTGCCTTTTTTTTTTCCCCTTAAAAAATGGAGAAGATAATATAAAAATTTTCATTTCCATCAAATTAATTATCTTTGAATTTAGAACTTACATTATCATGACAGATTAATAATGGTGGTCCAGTCATCAGGATCTATTATCCCCTTGTCAGTGTGCTGATATAATTGTTATTGTAAAGACTTTCCCAGCCCCATGTCATGAGTTTGACTACAGAGATTCATAACCCTGATGAGCAACACAATAAAGTTACCAGAAGGCAAAGACTCTTGCAATACCCTTAAAACGTATACAGAAGGATGTGAAAATTGTGTTTCTGAAACTGTCTACTATATATAACTATGTATAAAGATGCCAACCAGAATCACCAGTGGATCCACATGACTAAAACACTGCCAGGGGCGGGGAGGGAAGCCTTTTTAGAATACAAGGTATGCCAGAGTGACCAGCAGAAATGCTGCATGGCATTCCTACTTTTTTTCCCCACAAATGGGTATGAAAGCATATCAATAATTCCTGAACTCCAAGTACAACTTAGGTATGGGCCAAAACTGGGCCTGATTCTTTCTCTTATTCCTTTCTTACCCCTGCCACCTCCGCTTCAAATCCATCCTATAGCCCTGTCTGTTCTTTGGCTATGTTTTCAATCTTACATTGCTTCAAAGTGCGAACAGAGAAGGCACAGTGCCACATCAGTTTGACTAAGTTATTGCAGACATATTATTAGAGCAACTCCATTTCTACAGACTGTTTTTTATTAAAGACCAGCTAGCAGCTTGTGAATCTGGCTCCAAACATATGGTTTCAACATCACTAACAATTCAGATAAAAGATGCCATGGCAGCATTTATGACTGAGGAATGACCAGAAACATGGGCAAACCTTACCAGTTCTCTTCAGATTTATATGTATAAAAGCATTTAGAACCATTTCTAAAAACAGTCAATAATTTGAAGCTACTTTTTAAAAAGCTAATGCTTTCCTGCCTACTGATTTGTTTCACATTTACTGCAGTTAGCCTCTTAACTGTTTTAACCCAAATCTTCCAACCTTTGATGAAGAAAAAGTCTGATGAGTATGTGCTAGGCTGTGCTACTTCATTGCTTCACTATCATCTTTTAACATGTTTTTTTGAAAGTAGGGGACACACTAAATCACTGGCATGCTTTCAGTCCACATATTCCCTTTACTGAACTCTAAAAGAATAGGTATATTATCCCTCTATTGACAAAAACTTCAAGGAAATAGATCTTTCATCTCAATCATAAGAACAACAGGACGTGCCCCTATACACATACACAAACACGGAGGAGAACAACAAGGACTCGGTATATGAACAAAGCTTCTTGTGGAACACTCAAGAAGCCAAGCCAAAAATTTCCAAGGTTATCCTTGTCATGAAGGCTTCCTTATTTATTTGAAACCAGCATGCACTTCAGTTGCCAGTATAATCAACCACATTTATTGGCAAACACTTTCAGTGGCAAGTTTTAGAGGCAAGCCTAATAGGATATAAGATAAAAAACTAGGGTTCATTTGCTTACATTCCACTCATTAGTGACACTGATCTTTAAACAAGGAAAAAAAATTTCCATTAACAGCAATTTTCCATTTTCTGCTTACTTCTTGCAAGTTTGATATTTGAGAATACTTCCACATTTGCAATTCTATTGCAAATTCCTTCCCCTCACCCAAGGAATACAACTATTTCATGACCAATACACCCAAAACATTGAAAAGCAGATGTCAATCGTTAATGGATACACACACTGAAGATAAAGCCCAGTACAGTTCTTATGCTCCTGTGTTTAACTTACTTTCAAACCATAGGAGATTAATCATATGAAAAATTCATAACTGCCCTTTTGAGAAATTATACTGTGTTCTGAAGGAATAACTGGATTACTGCATGCATGTTTTAGAGCTTTTCAGTAATTACTTGCATTCTCTTAGATACAAGAAAGTCTTGCCACCTCACATCATAAGCATTAATGGTGCTCTTAGAATTTGCTTTTAATCACAGGCTTGTCAAGCCATGCTAAATTAACATGGGTCAACAGATGTGTTAGGCTATACTAAAACAGATTTTCAGGTCACTTCTCTGAAGCCCCGTTTAGCACTCCTGGTTCCGTTCACATGCCCCAGACTGAACTTTCCCTGCAGCAGTGTCAGTGGTGCCAAGCAGCTCTGAAACATTCCTAAAGAATGTTACCTTGAAGAAATTGCCTGACTTCTGCTGTGGGGAGATACACAGCAAGTTAGGCAATGAAGAGGAATTACTGTAACAAAATTAATACAAGTTGCATTTTCCCCATCCCAAAGTAATGTTTTCCAAGAAATTACTTACAAGCTTGCCTGATCACAAGTCTCAGAACATTACTGTAACTTCTAATGACTGCCAGGCTTTTTGGATTCTCTTGATGTGAATCAACAAACACTAAATTCAGATATTAAGGCATTAAGGGGAAAAATAAAAAGCAGTAAGGGAAATCCACACTAGGGTAGAATATCAACATTCTTTCTCACGATTGATCTCTGTAGCATTTCAGGTTTTGTTGTTCAGCTAATCCCCCTGCAGAGAGCTAGATTTAAATTTGTGGAAGACATGTTTACACAGTTCAACTCCATGACTTACATTACGCAAAAATCTATTTAGGGACTTTAAATATGCATAAGGGAGCAGAGATAGCAAAGTAGTATCATTTGAAGCTGTTCGAATGTAACAAAATCTTCTGCATATTGACAGGCTACTGGATTGATCTTTTGCAGTTGTTATAAATGCATCCTTTTGGATACTATAGATAAATACTGTGCTAATTTATAAAAAAAAATCTTTATAATTCAGGTTTAAGAAGAAATGCACCTCTAAAACACTACTATTTCAGAAGACTGCCCTGAAACTTCTGAAAACAGCAAAAAGATACTACTGTACTGTTTAACATTTATGCTTGAACAGCCCTTTGAAAGACACACGTTTGAGTTAACTAGAAGACCCCGTAAAAATCCCATAATCTTCTAGTCCTGAAAATTCTGCTTTTTACTGAAATTTTTCATTCTTGATCATAATTCAAGGAAAACATTCATTTAGAGTTTAAGGATAATACTTTATTCCCTATAATTAAAAATAGTTGAACTTAGATATTTTCTAAAACATATGCAACAGAAACTTTCTCTAAATTATATCCCCAGCAAAACTTGCACAACAGCTAGGATAGGAAACAGAACTAAATCCACTTGCTATTAAAAAAGAAACAGTACTGAATCGTATCACACTATGGTCTGCAAAGGGCATTTGCACAAGTTTTATGAAGACAGCAAATGACAACGTAAGAATAGGATACAGTAATCCAAAAAAAGGCTTAGAAAATCTTCAAGCTGCAATATTAATGAAATAGATCCACCACTATGAAAACTCAGACATTAAAAAAAAATATATATATTTTTTTGCTACTAAATTATTAGAGTTCTGTTGTTTTGTTTTGCTGTAGAGTTAGATGCATCAGTTACTATCAGTTTAACTCCCCAGGGCAATGGAAGGCAAGGAAAATGGAGAAAGGTTTTTCAGTGTGGCCAAAGTAAAAGCCTAAAGTAACTTATTCATGCCAGAACTCTGATTCATGAGATAGTCTGTCTCAATCTCAAAAGCTGAAGTGTGTGTTTCCTACTGACAGTCCAGAAATAGAACAGGAGGTTCACTTCTATTACCAAAAAGATTTAAGAGTTGATTAGTTTGCATCAAATAAGGAATTACCATAAAATAAGAATTTAAGTAACTCCTTTCTTCTTCCCCAAGAGTGCTCTCCACATGCCACACTCCTCATTGTTCTAAGTTCCGGACCATACACCACAAATCTAACACAAAAATGGGCTTGGGCTACAAATCACCGTATGTGGAAGAAACACTATAGTGAAGAAGCTGAGGGAAGACAGTTAACTGTACCCATCTAAAGATAAATTAAAAACTTAAGGTTATGATTAAGTCTTACATAAACTGGATTAAATGGTGGAGTACACTGGCACCACCTATCTTGTACATTTGTTCAGAATGCCTACCACTTCCAATTCTTTGCTACCTTTACTTCCGTGCAGAGGGAAGTAGCTCTGATTTCCAAAACTAGATTTCATGCATACATATAACTGCTAACGTTGATTGTTGTAACACTTTGATTACAGTGAGACACAATATTGGAGTTAACTCTCTGTGTTGCAAGAGGGGAAAAAAAACCTGGAAAAAAAGACCCTGAACATAAAAACCATGAGAGACCGCCTCCAAGAGCTTAAACTGAGAGCCAAGGAACTACAGACAGCTGGAGAAAACAACGGTGCAACTGTACAAGAGGAGGAGCCGGAGGAGTTTGAACAGCAGGCCATTATTTACGAAAAAGAGCCCATAACTGAAAGACACTTGCATGAAATCCAGAAGCTTCAGAATGAAATTAATAATTTGGTGGAGGAAGTTCATAAATTCAGTCAACAACAAAAAAGCCTACTATCTTCAATGAGACGATTCAGTGTTCTGAAAAAGGAATCTAACATAGCAAGAGAAATAAAAATTCAAGCAGAGCACATACGAAAATGTTTGGATGAACTGTCAAAAACAGTGAAAAAAGCTGAAAATGAACACGGGCCAACATGTGCCACAGTAAGAATTCTAGCTTCCCAGCACGCTTTCTTATCCCACCGTTACCTAAATGCTATGCTCTCATACAACGACGCTATAAATGCTAAGCAGGAGAAATGCAGAAGATTTATTGTCCATCAGCTTGAAGTAGCTGGTAAAGAGGTATCCGAGGAAGAAGTCAATGACATGCTCCAACAAGGGAAGTGGGAGATTTTCAATGAAAATCTACTCACTGAAGTCAAAATTACCAAAGCTCAGCTTTCGGAGATTGAACAGAGACACAAAGAACTAGTCAATCTGGAGAACCAGATCAAAGACTTACAGGAACTTTTTATCCAGATATCAGTTCTGGTGGAGCAGCAAGGGGAGATGATCAACAACATTGAAATCTGTATGAACAACACTCAAGAATACACTCAAGTATCCAAAGAAAAATTTGGGCTTGCAGTCAAGTATCGAAAAAGAAACCCTTGCAAAGCAGTATGCTGCTGGTGTTGTCCATGCTGCAAGTGACAAAAAAATAAACTATTTGAAATACCAATGGTTCCTACTTAGTAAACTGATCTTGTAGATCAGTCTCAGGATCCCTCAATTGCTTCATTTTTCTTCCCATTTTCCCTACCACAGAGCTCTCAGGAAAAACTGCATCTGTTTTTCCAAACAGAGTTAGAAGAATGCAAAAGAATTTTATCGTTTTCACAGAAATACATGAACTAGGGGAAAGGATCAAAGGACACAAGTGACACTTTTTTGTACTTTGACTCTAACACAATGTGCCAACATGCTATCTGCGGTTTTGAGAAGCATTGAAAATATTGTTAATCTCAAAGACAGGCTTCATAAGAATGGTTGAGTTACCTTTTATAAAATACTAATTAGTATCTTTAATTGCCTTGTGGTTTTTAGCACTCATATTTACTTGGTTCAAATTCCAAGGGTTTTTTTTTTCCCAGGAATCTGAAATTCTACAAGAAGAATCTACACATACAGCAGACACCATTAGTTACAATCCAGAACATGATGCCTAAACCAAACAAGAAGTCAGAAAACAGTTATCAGGAGTGTTTCAATACTACCTCTATAGGAAAAGGTACTTACAAGCTTGCTTACTGACTTAACACCATGAAATAATGCTCATGTTATAGTAGGGCAGTGTGCACTATCTTATGCAATGCAAAACAGACATTGGGTTATTATATATATATAGTGTGTGTATATATATATGTATATTTATTATATAATAGGTGTTGAGCTGATATTTTCTGAACACATTAAATATTGCTCATAGCAGAAGACCACATCGCCAAACCTACAGAGACATTTGTTAGCAGCCTGCTGAGAAGCCAAGCATTAATAAACTGACATAAAGATGTTTACTTTATTCAGCTACATAGGCAGACCCCCTACCAGGTTAGGATAGGGCAATATGACACTTTATTACACAGTGGTAAGACACATTCTTACTGCTGCCTAGCCTATCTAAATATGCAGTTCCTTCTGCAGTCTCACTTTCACTAGTACAAAAATGAAGGAAAAAAAAATTAAACTCCATGCTTATAAACATAATCTAGAACCAGAGAACAGTTTAGGCTGGAAGGAACTTCTGGGGGACATCCAGAGCAATCTCTTGCTCAAATCAATACAGGAAATTCCCTGGTTGCAGATCTTGTCCACCCCTTCTCATCCTACCACCATGCCTCTGAGAAAAGCCTTTTTCTGTTATCTTCACATCTTACTAGTAGGCAGCAGGAAGATCTCTTCCTTAGCTTCTTCATCTTAAATCTGAATAAACGCAGCTCTCTGATTCTCCTCATACATTACACGCTCCAATACCAGAGCAGCACGGATTCACTACCATATAATCAACATTTGTCTTCACAGTCTTCTTGTAGCGGGAAGTCCAGAACCGGACACGGTATAGGACATGCATTTATTTACACTACTACAGGAGTGGCCAGAAGAACTAGTTGAGGGCTTCCAGAACTCTAAACGGCTCCATGAAATTCTGCTAATTGTACAATTATGTACAATCTCCTCATGTAGATAAGCCAGGAATTAGTAAATAAGAATACCTTCCCTGAGTACCTAAAACAGAGCAGCTAGCCATTGACTCAATCTGTCCCTGAAGATAACTTAGACATTCTTCATGAAACAGCTGAATTGGCACAACAGGAGGTATAACACTGCTTTATTTTGCAGCTGTAATTATTTCTGCAGTGAAGAGAAGGTTGCAGACGGAGGGTGCTTTTGCTTTCCATAGCCCCAATGGTTGGTTGCTGCCCTCTACCCAACCCCTTTTGGAACTGAATGAGAAATAATGCTCTAATGGAATTTAACAGAAAATAATAATGCAAATCAAAAAGCTATTTCCAAAAGGAAAAGAAAAAGCCCCCAAACTAAACACCAAACCAGGAACATATTTCTGAACTACTTTATGCTGTGTAAAGACACAATCAATACCACTATATCTGGATACAGTCAGAGAAGTCGGAGCAAATTGCACTGCAATTTTGCAAGACATTAAGTGAGCTAGATGTCTTTGATTTTTTTTCCACTAGACGCAATTAGTCTACTATCGAAAGGGACTACCAAATTATTTTCACATTGTGATATTTATAAATAGTTGGGTACTCTTCATCCTGAAATTAAGTGTTAACAGGGTACAATCAGAGGTCTGAACCTTAAAGTGAAAAAGATTGTTTACACAGCAGCAACAAAAAATAAAATTAGATAACGACACCACTGATACTATTCCATTAAATAATCTCCCTTAACTGTTACATATATGGAAGCTACCTTTACATTCCAAGGGCAGAGTAGAAACTAGCTAACAGGCAATACAGAGAAAAAAGTTGCTATGGCCAACATGTTCTTTCATATATATATGTGGGCGTGTATGTATACAAAAGTATAATACACACAGAAATATGCACAACACAGAAACACCACCCTATCTTCTGTTCCTGTTCTTACTTTTAGGAAAAAAACAAAGGTAAATAACAGATAGACCCTTCCTCCTCTCCTGGGCCTTAAAAAGAAAGGCATTCAGTCTGTGCAGGATTATTGCAGCCAACATTGACAGAAGACCAAAAAAAAAAAACCACAACAAACACCAGCCGTTTACAAAGCATCCTCCATGCAGGAGTGTTCACAGAAGCATCCTTATCCGAGAGAGAAATGTGTTCCCCTGCTAGCCCTTCCTTTTCGCACAACATATATGTTTCTTTGAAGTAAACATGGTCTTGTTAAACAGCAGCTGTACTTTAAATCCTGGAAGAAAACTAGAGTTTCACTAATACTCAGGAAGACAACTGCCTAGCCATACACAAGTAAATAATCCAGGTAGTTTTCAGTTGTATATTGGTTAGAAAAGGGCATAGCAGAAACATAAATAACACACTGCAGAAGAACTGAGCAGAAAGAAAACCAGAAAGACTTGTGGAAAGCTTTTTCTGAATATGAGGTGCTATTAAAGTAATTAGTATTACCTACAACTTAGTTTGACATCGTGAAAATATGATATTGAGCATTCAAAATGATTAACATAGAAATTTTGCAGCAATCATTGAAATAACTTTCCAGTGTTTTTTTAAGTTACATAGTTATGCGGAAGAGCAAACAAATTAAATCAGAACTGCTAGTGTTCTAATAACAAATATGAAATAACAATAGCTATAATCACTCATCACCAAAATTAAGGTAGAAAGTAGCTCTCTACCAAAAAAATATATATAAATACCTGCCCAGCAATCTCTCTGGTATAAAAATATCAGCCATAGCACACGGACTTATATTTCCTCTTGCATGTGTTTCATGTCAAAGTAAAAAAAAAAAACAACAACAAAACAAACAAACAAAAAAACCAAATCCCAAAATAACACCAAACAAAACAGTACTCGGCTACATAATATGAGGCCTAACTGTTCCTGCTTGGAGAAAAGGAGAAGGAAGGAGGCTTGGAGGAAGGAGAAAAAAAAATTAAAAGAGAATTTAAACTTGCATAGAATTGACCCATGAACGTTAAAACTGCAAGAACTCTTACTTTCTACAACTCAGTTTCCCCACACATAACAGACTGATTAACTGCTTAAGCTCTTGAATGTTAAACAAGGCCTACACGAGCAAAGCATACATAAATTAAGTAGTAACACAGTAGAACAGTAAAAAAAAAAGCCAAATATAAAGTTTAACGTCTTCAAGTAATTTGTACTAAAAGGCAATAACAGCCAATAGCACCAGCACTTTAGGAAAACTGTCTTAAAATGATACGGTGATACCTCCATGGGCAGTGATAGATAAGATGTCACTTCAATTTCAAGCAAGTATCAAGCTGAACAGTATCAGAACTCTTATATCCATATATTACTGTAATATAGCATCTTGTACTAACCCTATGTCCACATTGAACAATTCAGCCTGTTCTTTTTCCTGGCCTCCATTTCTCCCTAAATAGTGCTAAGGCTCACTACCCGTTCCTTTATCGGGGAGGATAAGGAGCAAGAGTTGTCTTCCCCTTTACTTTTCTTCTCTCAACAGTGTCTCTTCTTACCCTCAGCAAAAAGCAGATTTGTCACATCCATAGGCATACTATGGAATTAGGGTATACCATAATACAATAGCTTGGGGTGGAAGGAAAGATGCCAAAAGGAAGAGTGAGTCAGTGACTCCAACTCTACTTTGCTCTGTAATGAAGACTGCACCTCAAACTTCAGTAATGGATCTTGTTCTCCATTTTGAAATAAGACCTATCTACTCATAATTCACAGCAGTATCTTGCTAGCACTACTCACAGTATAAAGTTGATTACAAACAAAAGACATCTAAGAAGACATGCAGTGACGTAAATTGACATGACTTCCCACTGCTTTTCAGAAAGGACTGTTGTTTGTTTTGGGCAGATGTAAAACAAAATAGGAAAAAATATTCTGGGAAACGTTCTGTTATTCAAAGAAATAATAGAAATAGCATATTTACTGGGAAAAGATAGTATATAAAGAAACCCCAGATTTTTAAGGAAAAAAGTTCCTTTTTCCAGAATAAAACACATGCATTTTGAAAAATAACCCACTCTTCTACTGGAAAGATTTTTAAGTATTTGTTATGGACATAATTTTCCACATACTTCATGAAAGAACTGAGGGTCTCATTTGCACACTTCCCTATACACTAGGATTAAAACACTTACTGTACACATCACAGTCCCAGCTGGACAACATAGCCCAGCCTCTCCTCCCCACCTTCTTCCAAATACACACATTAACCTAGTTGCGCACTTGGGTGATAAATAATAACTACACTGTCTTTGGGGACAGTCCCAGAAAGCAAGCTCCGGCCCTTGGATTAAGTGGTACGGACCGGCACCCATGTACGCTGTTTGGAGTGAAGAGCTTTTGGAGATCCCCTTCTGGATAAGACTGGTCACATCCACGCTACAGCACCTGACCCCAATCTCTTGTTGGGCTGCGTGTGACATCCCTCTGGTCTTAGGACTTAAAAATAAAATAATTTTATATATGTAATTTAGCATGTCCAAAATCACACTCAGTGCAATGAAAGAATTGTTCATTCTGATGTGATACACCTAAAGTTTGGGGACATTGCATGAGGGCATGTAGCGCGCAAGACCTGCTGATGCAGTGTTAAAGTAGGATGAGTAGGAGCTGAAGCTGGTGTGGTCTACATTCCAACTATCTGACCAAACTACAGTGTTATACAGACATGTCCTCCCTGGAAGAGGGAGGACATGAAACCGTTTGTCTCCAAGAAGAAGTAAGTGACCCAGCAACCAAACACACAGCATGGCTCATTGTGGTGTCAGCACCCAAGGAACAAAAAAAAAAAAATAGGGTGGTGGGAGAGGGAAGGGAGTAAATGACTAAATCTCTCAATGTAAACAAACCACATAATTACTGTGCTGTTCAAAAAGGAAAAAAAAAAAAAAGTTTGTCTATTTCTATTAATGACTGTATGTCAAAGACTGCCAATCCTTTCCGGGTGAACATTAAGTGCATCACTGTTGAAGTTTGTTCCTATTCTTGGTTTTTTGTGTGTCAGGGGTTTTTTGTGTTTGGTAGGGCTTTTGGTTTTTTGTGTTTCTTTTTGAGTTTTGTGTTTGTAGGCGTTTTGGTTCTTTTTTAGTTTTTTTTCCATAGTGGAGTAGTGGACAAACCTGCATCATGTAACAGCAAACAGCTGGAGAATACTTTTATTTAAATGTTACTCATAAACAACAGTGTCTTTTCATAGGAAGAAACATACCATTATCTAAATTAGGATATGTTATTTTCTTTTTCAAATCTTTAAAGATAAAAAGGAGATATATTTAGATAAAGGAACTTCATGATTCAGCATATATTTTACCCATTACATCACAACAAAATTTGCTTACCTGAGTAAAAAAAAGTTTTTTCACCCCACTACTTTTTTTAGACCACTTTTGCAAGGACAGTTAGCTCCTACAATAACCATACCACTGATCTATATCAAATTCACATGGGTAGAAGAGAGACCAAAACTAGTTTTAATTTATTCACTTTACCTATTCTCAAAGGCAACAGACAGCTGAGTACTTCGCTTGTTGCACCACAACCAGACACAGCATGAGCTTACCCAGCCAGAGAAGAGATGCTGAATAGAGGAAGGGAAGAGAAGGAGAGAGAGAGTAAAACTTCAGGAACTAGTGAGAGAGGTCAGAGTAAGAAAAGGTGAGCATATTAGGGAATGTGTTTATTCATTAGTACAGAGTTATGCAAATTGTATTTTATTTCCTCTTGGAATTATTATCGAACAACAATTTTCTAAAAAGCATTCAAGAACAGCACTCTTCTTAATCCAAACCCTAACATTCTGGACACAAGAAATTCTACAAGTAAAACAGGATTAAAGTTCTAGTAAATGTTAATTTACCTAACAAGGAATGCAATTTCTGTTTCAAGATTTTCTTTTATATATGCTGAGGTAGTCCATGGTATAAAGGCAGATTAAGAAAACTCTGACAGATCAGAATTCTTGTCCAGAGGCAAATTCCTGCCTCCTTACCATTGCTAACACTCTAGTATCACTCCTTTTCAAGTTTTATTAACTAATAACAAAAATATTACAAAGGACAGCCACAAATATGAATATGACAACCTAACTGGAATATTCCTTTACAAATACACAAATTAAAATTGTCTGATGAGCAATGGTTTATTTCAAAGTCCATCTTTTTCCACAGTCCAACTGGCAAAATTAGTTTTGTCCAGATAGATGATAGCTCATAAATGAAATGAAAAAGGTAATTCTGTCTGTCTGATTATTACCTACCAGAAGTACACAAAAAAAAAAGGAAAAAAAAAGACATATTGAGCAGGTTATTTCAAAGACAAGCAGATGCTAGGGACACACAGTGATACACCTGATAAGGCATATACAGCAACTTCTGCTGCTGCCTTCAAAATCCAGAATGGATTAACATCCAATCCTACAGCATACTTACATATACTTCATTGTACAAGATACTACATACGTATCACAAATTAGGGTAAGTAACAGACTAAAATTCAGTGCTGACTATCGAAATTTTGGTACATTGGTTCAATCTATGCTTAAAAAGAAACATGAATATCCAATATAAACATTTTAATTATTTCATTCTGATCCAGTCACCAATACCTCTTTCATCATTCTTCAGCACACACACACTTTGAAGTTATAGCTCACTCCTTTTCATTCCTTTAGAGTTTAGGTTCTTTTATTAGTTTTTTAGATGATAATTAGTACTTATTAAAATATTAATGAATTAGTGCTTTGTATTTAAGCATACAAGCAACACAGCAGATAAATCTGTGCTCCTACAGACAGCAGAAAATAAGAAAATTACATCTGTTTTTCTGCTTCTCCTTGTTTATTTCATGTGCTGGAGGAAAGCAGTAGTCCAGACCAAAGACAAATTTGTGGAGCATGGAAGTGACAGAGAAGAAGTCTCTCTCTTCTGGCATGAAATTATAAGAATATTCTATGGAAAGAGACATAGATTGTGCTCTGCACTGCAAGAGCATGGGAGAGAAGGGAATTACTTAAAATAAAATTCAACTTTCCTGGATTTGATACTCAGAGGTCAATGTATTGTTTTCAGTAAATACTGGCCTCACACATACACGCACAGATTAAAATGTACTAATTAGAAACTTCACAAGACATTAGAGAACTTATTGCTATGTGGAAACCAAATATTTCATTATTAAAAAAAATCCAAACAAACCGAAAAAAACCCAACACCAGAAGCTGAACATTCTTAGAAGAATGAAATATTAAAAAAGGCTAACTTTCATCACAAATTTGGAAATCTGCTGTTTCCTTTATTCTCCTCTTGATACATTTTCATTATTCAGTTTTAGGGATTTAAGGGGAAAAAAATTATGCCACAAAACTGTTGCTTGGCAAGTACGAGTGAGGGGGGTTTGCATCTCCAATCAAAGGCATCGTCAGGGAAAGGAAGGTGCATGGGATCAGTTTAATCTCATTTGCTAAGCACTCTATTTCCATACCACAAACACTGCTGCCTACTGACCAAGCCCTCCTACTTCACAACATAAGAAATACTTCAAACACTGAAACAAGTTCAAAGGTTTATGTAATTTAAACATGCCAAAAGTAGCAGAGCTATGCCATGAACAGAGACACCAAACAGAAAGCAAAGACAATACAGGAAAGAGTTTGTAACTCAAGATGCAGGCTCATATAGGGAGGATAAAATGAAGAACTACTGGGCACTTCCACAGAACTGGGACACTGCAAGAGCAAATTCTGTTCAAAGGCTCAAGGTTCAATCAATTAGACAACAATAACATCAACAAACTTAGTTTAGTCATCATTAGACTCAGTCAATACACTCTACCTTCTGATTAGCTAATAACATGGATTGAAAAGCAAGATCAAGTCCCAGAAAAGTGAGGGCTTTCTGCAGGTACAGCCAAATAAACTCTATTATGGGATCAGAGCATAAAGATTTCTATGAAAAGCAAAAAATCTAAAACTATTCATTTAGAAACACTGCACACTTGTCATCTCTCACAGTTGTGTTTTCAGAACAGATTTGAGTTAAAGTAGCTGCATTAAGTTGGTTTTATTGCCTTCCCTGTACTAATAACGTTCAGACAGCAATGGAAGTTAAAATCCATTTTTCAACATATACACTATTATTTTGCTGCACTACACTCCACTTGATCAAAACAGATTAGCCAGTTTCCCCTTCCAACCACCAGATCATCACTACTTCTTAAAAGAGGCCTCTCCTCTTAGCTTTACAGATCCGTTCTATCACAGGAATGTTGTGCAATTAATGCATTATGGAGGTCTTATGCACACCAGACAAAGTTATTGTCCTGATAAACCATTTTTAACTTTCATAGTTTATCTTGTAACTTCAAAAGGGTATTTGTCCTCAAAGACCTCTTGTGCAGCTGAATTTAATAAATGTTATTTCCAATATTCTACAAAACCTAGTTTTGAAGATGAAAAGTCTGTGAATCTATCCATTCTGTGAAAGAATGTCTCTAGACTTTTTGAAAGTTAAACTTTGTTTTTTGCATTAAAACACATGCACCAAAACAAAAGCATATGCCAAATACTATTAAAGCAAGCCTTCTTTAATGAATTTTTGCTGATCATGTATCAGCAGCACCACCATGTGTTAAGTGAACAAGATATTTATTGCTGATTACTGGTATTGTAGAATATAATGAACCATTTACAATTTAAGTCATTTATGTAGGTCCAAATAGTAACCATAATTTTACACCATGTTGCCATGCCAAACTTGCAAAGCCTTTAACCTATCGTACCATTTCAAGGATCATAAGAATTTTTAAGAGTTAAAAGAGAAAACCCAACTTATTATTTTTCCACTGCTAATGACAGGAGAAGGAAAGGGAAAGGGAAGGGAAATAAATATCCCTGAGAAGGACTAAATGCAGATGCAGTGAAAGGATTCAGTATATCACCATGTACTCAAGAGGGAAAGAAGGAAAGAATTAAAAAAGAAAGGAAATAAACAAGAAAGAAAGAAAGAATAGCCTTTGTTGACTAGTCTGATAGTAAGATCAGCATAAATAAATACTTCAGAAATACTGTACAACCAATTGAGATATTTCTTGGTGCTAAAGTTATAGTAGTGTTAACATACTTTACATTTCTGTTTATACCATACATAAGTACTTCTTTAGAAGGCATACCGAAGGGCAAAATTTACAAAAGTACAGATTATTAGGAGAATATTTATGAACATTACTTACACTAGCACAGGTTTTCCTGATATCTTAGGGCTGTTTAAAACTTCTATCATGGTTTGCTTTGTTTCTTCCATTCTTGCAATGTCACTGGAATCCACAACAAATATTACACCGTAGGACTCAGCATAGTAATTTCTCCAGATATTTCGAATTCGTTTTCCACCTCCTAAATCAAAGATGGTGACTTCAAAGCGTCCCTGTTTAAGGTCAATCTTGGAAAACCCAACTGTTGGAGCCACATCTTCAGGAGACTCTGTCAAAGTTCAAAGAAAGCCTTCAGTAAAGGGTGTCTTTAGTTATTTAAGGAGGATTTTACATTGTGATTTGTGAAGCAAAATTCATATCTTAACAGGGAGGGTTTACTCCATGTTGTTAAGTGACACCATATTGCTAACCACATATTTTTTACATTAAGATTTTCCCTCTCCTCAGGTAATTTCAAATTAGCATACTAGTCTCTCAACCAGTTGCTTTACATTAAATCAGATAGCAGCACCAAGTGGGAATGAAAAAAAAACCCTGAAAAAAATATTAACATTTGCATTTTTTACTCTTAACAGTTAAATTGCAGTGGTGTTCAGTGTACTGCAGTTTTTACTTTTCCCCTCACCACCACTGCTCCCATCTGAACAGTTATACAGCATTTGTATGGTGTTAATCCAAGTTTGAGAAGGAAACCAAACAAAACAGTTAATGTATTAAGACCTGAGAAACCTTGTGTTCTGCCAAACTTACTCTTTATCCCTCATGGTTGCCAAAACAGCTTTGAAAGTTCAAACCAAGGGCTGAGATGAAGTGACTGAAATCATGTTCTTCTGAGATATAAACTACTTGATTCCCTTTATTCAATATCAGATTTTGGTCTTCGTTTGTTGGTTTTTATTTTCTGTCTTTTAGTTTTCCATTCAATATGCCAAAACACTACATATATATATTTAATGCTGTTGCTTGCTATCTCCCTTTCTGGAGGGCAAAGACAGCCTGTACTTGCCTCACACCAGTAAGCTCTCTCTGCAGGGGTGAGTTCATCGGGTCTCTTCAACTCTTTTATGTAACTTGGTAGCACAAAGCAGAAGAAACAGATGTGAAATTCAGCTTGTTGAAAGGAAGAAATCAAAGCATGGCCAAAAGCACCGATCTCTGAAGAACAGTGCAGAAGCTAAATCATGACCAGCCTTCTGTTACCATGTTCCTTTTTTAGAGAGAATCCTTTACACGCAGCTGAGATGGGGATTCAGAAAAGACCCTTGGCCAGAACAGTGTAAGCCAAGACTCCAGTAAGAGAGCGTCCAGGAGCCCCACTTGTGAAAAACTACAGCTTCAAAACTCAGACGGCTTTACTTCGAAGAAGGTTTTGCACTGTGAGCTGTAAGTATATGCTCTTACAAGACAGAACAGTATGAACATGAGGGCTGGTTAAAAATTTAAGTTATTGATGGCGTTGAATATAAAGGGATATTGCTGAAACATCTGCTCCTATTGTACGGTGAGGTCTCAAATAATAAACCATCTTCAACCTAAAAACAGGGTCTGACATAAACTGCAGATTCATTTTGGCAAATATGACTTTGATGACCACACTGATTTGCCCAAGTTTAAGAGTTCTCAGAACTGAAATACATTTGGTTTCTGCTAAAACCCAGCAATCATAACTGAAGTCTCCTCCTGTAAGCCGTATGATTGGTGCATAGCCAAAAATACTGGTTTTATCAGCCCTGAAGACTAACTGCAGGTTATAATCTCTGCAGGCCCTGTTAAGGAAAAAAAAGTGCTTTATAAGGTAAGAGCTATTCAAGCCCTGGGAAACAGTCACAAAAGTCAGAGCTAACTTTTCCTAGAGCTTCCCTTTTGAAATCTGCCACATTTAGTCGATAAAGGCATTTAAGTTGAATTTGAAACAGAATGGAAGGCTAAATAATGAAGCACCCATGTTCTCAAGGCAAAGATTCAGGAATATAAATGAGTGAATATTCATAACTTTATTCACAGTTTAGCAAGTCTGTGAACTTACATAACATGCATAAACAGAAAGTCAAGGTGGAGTCTCCAAGTCTGCCAAAACACTAAGTATATTCTTGTTATTACACAAGATGAAAGTTATTTAGAAAGACAATCCCACAAGGGGAAAAAGAAAAAAAAACACAAAAAACCAAACACATTGAATGTTTGTTTTCATAAGCACAAGTTTTATCTCAAATTATATCCTGCTTGCACGTGTCATTGAATGGTGCAAAGTACCCTCCAAAATCAAATGATCTCTTACTGATGCAAGTGCCTAGAAAATTTCTAGTGCTTTTCTAGTGATAAAAAAAAAATATAAACTATGTATCACTAGAACCATCCATTATGTTATACACATACACTGCAATTTCCTTCTTTTGGACCTTTCCCTCCTCCATTTACAACCCTGATTTTAATATAAAGCTTAATAAGTAAGCTGAAGTAATATACTCGTTACTGTATGGTCACCGGAAAGTAACTTCAGCACGTGCACATGCGCACACAAAAAAAACCCATAAGAATCAGGTCCACTGATTTCTCTAAAGCATACCAAGATGTGAAACACATCATTAACCAGAATATTTTGTATCATTGCCTAAATTCAAAGTAATAATTAATTAGAATGTGGTCTACAGCTGTCAGAGTTTTTGCCCATACTTTCTTTCACTTAAAGCAACTGATGGAGACAGACAGCTTGCTTGTACTTACAATGTTCCTTCAGCTATTCATTGAACAACTGAAAAAACCTTCCTCTAGTCCACAAATATGCTATGATGCTCATGAATTTTAAACAAGAGCCCAGAACAGATTTTGTTACAATTTAGCATTTTGCACAGTTAACAATACAGTGGTCAACTCAAGGCACATAAGCACCAAGGTATTCCGAACATCTGTTCTTAGCATTTCCAAGATAATTAAACACCTCTGTGGACTTTTTTTTTTTTTTGGTCTATCTCAGTGCACTAAGGGGTCTAATGCTGCATAATGCAATGTCTGAAGAGGCATTTCTCTCCCTACTATCTACCTTGCCTCTATACCATACTACTACCTTTGAAAAAGGTGTAGCAGAACAGCAGCAACTTTGTTGAACTACCACTGATTTGGTGTACTTTAACTCAACATAATGTTAAATGCAGTGAGCTTGCTCTGCTACTTCTTCTCAACACAAAGTACATGACTGGGAGCATCTGCTTTTAAAGTCACCCCAGCATGACTTGCTGGATCTCAAAAATCAGGATCTTTATGTTTCAAGTGTAAGATGCCTTAATTTTCCTCCCATCTTCAGGTCTTCACACAACGGGGCCTGTGACATGGTCACTTTGGCAATCACCAAAATTTTCCGTATGGGAAGGAGAGATAAATTAAGAGATAAAGCAAAATTTTTAGGTTAAAGTGATGGAAAATTAGTAATTATACTATATCTTGCAATGTTCCATTTAGATGATAAACAAATTAATTGCTTACCTCCTTGAATTCCTCGGACTGTAGCAGTTTTACCAGCGTTATCAAGACCCACCATTATTAGTGTCACCTTCCTCCATAAGGAGAAAAAAAAAAAAATTCAGATCTTTTTTTCCTCTAGCAAGACATCAGTTATTTATTAAGGTTTTTTTATATACATGCATAGCAAATTTACCACAGAGTAGTAGAAAGAACAAGTATCAAAATACCAAGTAGCATTGTTACAACTGTGCATCTGGTGTTCAATGTCAAACAATCTGACTAGACAGAACCACAGAACAAGGTATAAAATGAAAAGTCTAATATTGTGCTGTAAGTTTCACATGAGACAATGATTTTGCTTTCAACTGATATTTGCCTGCTGAAATTTAATTTCACGGTACTGTAAATTTTATTCTTTTTTTTGGTGTGGTCATGGTCTCTAACAATTTCTGTAATTTCCTTTCCATTCCCCTGTATTTTTACTGTCTCTCTGCCTCAAAGTTGTGCCAATACTAGAAATTTATTTCTGTCTCAACCAATGCATCTGAACAACAGTACACCAGTACACAACACCTGTGTAGACAACCTCAGATGCTGTAAATAAGCGGCACCGGTACTCATCGTACCTTTGTTTCAAGCAGAAGCAATCTACACTGCAGATGTGCAAACCAGTGGTGTTGAGGATGTACAACATATTAGCAAACTGTCACACAGGTTAGAATTTATCCCAGGACAGAATTTTAAGCAAAGCAATAGGAAAAACATATCTACGTGTATATCTCAATTGTTCTTCCTATTCACAAAGACTCAGAGGCATCAAAGGAATTTGCTCAATTTTAAGCTCCTTAAGAAATAGTAGCAACATTGTCATTTCCAGTCTTAAAACTACAACAGCATCATATATGAATTATAATTTATGCAAGTTCTTTTAGAAGAGCCAAAAAGTTCTGAGAAAAGAGCCTGAAAATGAACATAGGATCACAGTAAATTATACTTTAAAAGTAAGCTAAAACCAAAACAGTCACAAACATTTATAAACTCACAATCATCTATAATTGTAGCATCAGAAAGCTATTCAATTTTTTTTTTTTTGAACACAAGCACCTTTTGTAAAACCTAAACTACGTAGCACTGAATAAAAGAACAAATCCTTGTGCATGAGTGTGAAGTATAAGTAAGCGTGGTGTACCCTTTATTTCTCTTCCCATAGTTTGGAAATAGTTTGAAACAAACTGTGTACTATCTGTGCATCTCTGGTAATTGGAGGGGAAAGGATGGATGCAGGATGACAAATTAAAAGTAATGGAAACACACAAGAACAGTACAATTCCATAAACAAAAATGGATCACCAGGGTACCCCAAAACACAGTATCAAGATACTTAAATAATAGTAAGAAACACTAGGGCTATAGTGTACTGTTGACAACAAAGTGTTTTAACACATTACACTTCAGAATATCAAAATGCAGAAACTAAATCAATAAGACGAAAACCAAATAAACTTTACATAAACATTCTAGGATCACCCCACAATGCTTAACTTGAAGAAACAGTATGCAAAGGAAAATATTTTTAGCTTTATGCTTTCATGAAGTCAGAAACAAAGCACCTGAATTAAAGATTATTAACGTTTCATTTTTAAGTTTAGAAGATGTATTGATTCTCTCTTGGAGAAAAAAATGACAGATTTTGTCTCAGAATTAAAAAATATGAAACAATGCTATATAACAAAGTAAAACATAGGTGAGAAAACATGAAATACAGTTTGGGAAGGTCAGCACAGAAATGTAAAATACTTTCACATGTTTACCTGATAGGTTCCTGCCACCGTTTTAACCAGCTGCAGCAATTGGCCATTAGACTGAACATCCCTCTTCACTAGCCATCCAGAGCCACGAAAGCAACAGAAACAATGTAGACAGGCCAGAATAACCAAAGACGACAAGGAGAGAAACTGCAAAGGCCCAGATGTTGTCACTGCTAGCAAGGGAAAAAAAAAATAAATTAGAAATGCAGTTAGCTCCTATGTATAACCAAGGCAAGCCATTTCCCAGCAGCAGCCTGCTTATTTATAGTGTGTCATATTCAGTCATCCCCATGACAGTCTCATTATGTTTTTCACTTTTCCATCCTCTCACACTTCATCTGCCCCCATTTTACATACCTGGGCAGCAACACCACAGTACTACTCATACAAAATAATAATGCAAGACCACTGTATATGAGGAAACCTGCAAGTTAGTGCAGTAAGACACATCAAGCGAAGAAATTCCAGTGCTTGCCTCTCTAACATATCCCACAGCTCTGCTGATTGACAGAAAATAAGGACCAATTTCAAGCATGAGTAAGGCTTGTAAGAACACAACAGGATAAAACGTTAAAAGCAAACAAAGGATGTCCTACCCGTTAAGTATATTCATTTAACTGTCAATTTCTTTCACACAAAAGGATCCCACAACAAGGAAGCTGGGTTTGCTAGTGAGTACTTCGAGGAACTGGCAGCTTAATATCTAGTAATTGCCACTAAATTAAGTTAGAGTATCAAGTACTTCCATCATTTTACAATCTCACTTCCTACTCTTCAAGCAGGAGAAAGAAACAGAGAAACTCTTTCTGATGCCGCTCTGTGGAACAAACAACAAAGAACAACTGTGTTATCATGTGCATGTTTATTTCTTTAAATGCACACTTCGCTATGAAACAGTAAAGTTTACATAAACCATGCAGTCAATGCACAAAGATGCAAAAGCTTTAGAACTCCCTGAGTTATCCAGCTACAATAATCCTCCTGTGAACAGCAGTAGTTGTCCAGATAAAGCCCTTTCACCAGCCAGCCTTGGGCAATTTTACTTCCCAAGTTCAATTCCACAACCTCCTCAGCAGAATGATGTATGCACAGTCTGGCTGCTAATTTTTTTTCACACTCTAGCCTACATGGTGCTGTGCATTTTAAATTTTTGGCTAAAACACTGCTGATAACGCACAAATATTTTGGCTATTGCTGGAGGGTGCTTGCACAGCATACAGGCTTTTTCTCTTTCCCATTCTGCCCTGCCCACCTCTCTCCTCAAGCTGGGGTGGGCAAGAGCTTGGGAGGGGACACGGCCAGGACAGCTGGCCCCAGCTAACAGGAGGGATATTCCGCACCACATGATGTCGTGCTCAGCAAAAAATAGCTCAGGGAAAAGAGGAGAAAGGAGGAATATTCATGGTTATTGCATTTGTCTTCCCAAGCAGCTATTAAGCGTGTTGAGGCCCTGCTTTCCAGGAAGTGGCTGAAAGTCTGCCCACTGATGGGCAGAAGCAATTAAATGCCTTTTTGCTCTGTTTGAGCACACAGCTTTTGTTTTCCCTGTTAAACTGCTATTACCTCTGTCCACAAATTGTCATCTTCTATCTTCCCCCCATCCAGCAAGTCACTGGGTGCATCTTTATCTGTTGGCCAGGGTCAACCCACCACAGTCCTTCTCGGTGCCCAACAAGGGGCTCAAGATTACGACAGCTTTGATCTGAGCACATTATATTTGTTAACTGGCAGGCTCCTGTGCTGGTCACTGAGCTCGATTACTGTTTATTGAAGTCAAGCACTTGTTAGTGGCTAGGAAAAGAAGTGTGAGTCTCTTCTCCCTTGGGAAAAGGCAAAGCCATTTGTGGGACTACCTTTGTTCAAGGCCCCAAGCGCACATGGTGGCTAATGTGGAAGGATGAGAAAATCCAATATGTATCTCAAACAGATTTAAACTTGGGGTAAAATAACCCATGATTTGAGTTGTACATTACAGGAACAGTCCAATAGGAACCACTTGAACCACAGGAGGATGAGCCTTAAATACAAGGCGAGTGTGGTGATTACATAACTCAAGTGGGTCTTGGCAACCAACTATCCAACATGCCACTTCCCCTGTCCTGAGAGGCCACTCCAAGTCATCAACTGTTCTTATTTGGGGAAGGGGCATGGGACGGGGCTATGGAACAGGGGAATAATATCTGTGCACATGTCATGGGACAGAGGATGGTGGTTAATGACATACCAATCTCTCCTCCAGAGATTATCACAACTCTTGCAGAAGGAACGTGCACCATCACCTCAGCTCATAGGCTCAGATCACCTTAGCTCCCATTCTGATCAGCAGCTTAAGCTAAAAAACCCCCATCTGGATTCACATCAGAGTAGCTGAGCCATAGACAGATATTAGATGCTGCTAACTTGCCTCCATGCACAGATTAACTGAGAGTAGTGACACTTTGAATTACCATAGCAAATTTCCTTAAGCTTGTTTTGCAAAATTCCTTTTTAAAAAAAAAAAACAAAACACCAAAAAAGCTCTAAAGAAATTCCTTTTATAATTTAAAAGTAACTCCAAACTAAGATAATTTGAAATGATGCAGAAAATTGAATAATTAAATATAACAACTTTCCAAAGTTGTCATCTTCCCAAACTAGACCAATGAAAGCGGAAAAAAAAAAAATAATAATTGAGGAACTATCCTTAACAAACATATTTTTCCCTAATAAACTATGATGGTTTAGATAATTTATACATAACTCCTGATCTTATGAAGCTGCTGCATTCAAGAACGCCTTTGTGTGGATCTGCCATCACTCAATGTCAGAAACAGATCAAATTTCTTCCAGAGCAGAGACAACAGATACTCTTTAAATATTTATATGCCATTATACAAAAGCACCTGAGAATAGCGTCTCCCCAGGAAAGCTTAGTGTGTGAAGAAGATAAAAGTTCCAAAAAAGGAGAGCAAGATGATTACAGCTATTACAAGTATTAAAATCTGGCTCTGAACAATCCAAAAAACCTCAAAAACCCCACACAGTGGAATATGGTATTTCAACCCACAAGCATGTACCAACAAAGCTAACTTTGAGAACGTAGTTACACAAACTTTAGCTCTGCTGAAAAGGAAAGTGTAACAGTTCAATGAACAATGCACTGACCAATGTGTAACATTTTTGGTGCCTGAGCATCATCAAAGAACAATACTACATAGATTGTCTAGCCTTGCAAATTGTCATAAAATTGCTCTAAAGCACAAATATGGCCCATAGTATTCAAATGGGATTCATGAGATGAAAAAAAACTTGTTAAAGAGTGAAGAGCAGAGGACAATTATATCATAGGAAAGGAATCTTGTTTAAATATGAAAACGCAAAAGAGGGTGGGCGGGAGGTGACAAATAAGATAAAAAGTGTCCAAAACATGGCACTATAGCAAGAAAGGGCATTCAACACCGCTGAGAAAATTGTGGTAGGGAGACAAATCACATTGTATTATACTATTTTGGAAAGACTGCATTTCTTGAACTAGCAATGGACAAAAAAATTGATCTCTGAAATATGCACGGAGCATACTACATGTATTTTATATGTTGCATCAACAACATTCAGAAGTTGCTGCAGATATTATATTCATCATCTTGAACTCTTTATGCTTGTTGAGATGAAGCAAAACCAACATGCCCACAAGCTCAGAAATATGTAAAACTGTGTAGTTAAGCTACTATACCATTTAGCGAGCAGGTCAGCACAAGTGTAAAGGACTAAGAATGTCAAAGATCACAGAAAAAGTATACTACAGAAACTAAAAAATGCATGAAAAACAATGGCATTAATTCTTTACACTCTAGATTAGATCAAGAGCTACTTGGCAGCCCGTATGTTATGTGATCCAAAGTACTGGGTACCAGCAAGTCCAACATCCAAAGTCATCTGATGAATAAGTTTATCTACTTCCATATCAAAGTATAAAACAAGCACTTTTTACACATTTCAATGTCAGTGTTTACATTAAATGTTCTGCCTTTGGTAGAAGCTTTTATGGTAGAGAATTTTTTTCAGTCATAACAAGCTCTCACTTTCCTTAAAACATAATTAAACAAACCGTTTAAAGATGATTCTCCTCACAAAGTTTATTTATTTAACTTCCTACTGTGATGTTCCTTGTTTGAATTTTAATTATAAGAACACAGTATTTTAGTCGTATTGCATTATCTTTAACAGGGAGTGTAGCAATAGGATGATGGGTAATGGTTTTAAACTGAAAGAGAGTAGATTTACATCAGATATTAGGAAGAAATTTTTCATCATGATGGTGGTGAGGCACTAGAACAGGTTGTCCAGAGACAATGCGGATGCCCCATCCCTGGAAGTGTTAAGACCAGGCTGGATGGGGCTTTGAGCAACCTGGCCTAATGGGAGATTGTCCCTGACCATGGCAGGGGTGGTAGAACTAGATGATTTTTAAGGTCCCTTCCAACCCACATTATTCTATGATTCTATTATATTTTGGACAGCAAATCAAGTGATTGAGCCGTGAAGAAAGCATATTCAGCAAAAACTTCAATGCCAAAATTGCAGGGTAGTTAACAGGTGTATGAAGCGCAAGCAAGAGCTGTAATGTCTCCAGACTGAAATATCTATGAGAAATAGTTCTAGGACCATGAGTTCTTCCATAACAAAAAGTTACTATAGGACTAACAATTCAACTGAGTTTTGCACTTTCCAGCCACGTTCCTACCCTCCTTATGTTTCCGAAAAGAAGCAGCCCTAAAATCCACTGACTTTAGTTCAGGTATGTTTCCTCTGCTTGTCTCTTCCACTGCGGGAGCAACCTTTTCTTTTCTAAAATCAACATTACAGCAAAAAAATCTACTCCCGAGCTGCTCAGAGACTTTCCAACTGGCTGCCGAGCAGCCCGAGGCTGGCCCTGCGGACACACACCGGGGTGTTTTGCGTGGCCACACTAGAGCGGGGCTGGCAGAAACCGGCCCCGGGCTCCGCCGAGCGGGACGCTGGGCCAGAGCCCCGGGAGGGCGGCCCCCCCCGCCAGCCCACCCGGGAGACCCCCAGCCCCGCCGAGAGCAGGCGTACTCCGGGCCCTCCCGGCAGGCGCAAGCACCGAAGAAGACACCCATCCCTACCGGGGGGCGCCTGGCCTTCCGCCCTGACCCCCAGCCCCTCTCCGGCCGGCAGCCCGCCTCACACGCCGCTCCTGGAAACGCAGGACGGAGCGGTGCAGACCGGGCCGCACAACCAGCCGCCCCGCACCAGTCACCCCGCGAGCACTCACCGGTCGCGCTAACGGCTCCGCCACACGGAGCCTGTCCCCGCCACCACGGCGGCCAGCGGGACCTGGCGCTGCCCCCGGGCGGCGGTGACGGAAGGCGGGGGAACAGGCGGGGAGCTGCCGCTGTTCTCCGCTCGGCTCCGCCGCACCGGGCCCGACGCGGCCGCTCCGGAGTCACGTGCCCGGCGCCCCGCTCACGCGAAACCGCCCATTGGCCGAAGCTGCGATCTCCGAGGCAGTAGGGACGCTTAACCAAGCCGGTAACCCCTGGTTACCGCCAACGGGCGCCGGGAAGGGACAAACTTGCCGGCCGCAGCAGAGCGCGAATACAAAGCAGCACCGACACCCGCGCGGAGAGGCGGGGGACGGCAGGCCCGCGCCTAACCAATAGGAGCGGGCGGCTTCCACGGCGCCCGCGGAAGATCAGCCAATCAGCTGTAAGGGGGCGAGGCAGCAACGCCCCCCCCGTCCCTGCAACCCCCGCCCCAGAGTGAACAACGGCGCGAGCCTACAGTAACGCCCGGTGCCGGGTGGGCGCTGAGGGCCCCGCACGGGCGGGAGAGGGGCCGAGTGGGGCCCTCCTTTGGTTGGTGGCCCCCCCTGCTGGCAGTGCGCGGCGGGAGCCGCTCCGGGGGAGGATGCCCGCGGACCCTCGCGTTCCCCGCTGCCGCCGCCGTCCCCGGGGGTGCCCCTCAGCCCGTGTCGAGCCTCCTGCAGCACTGCCCTCCGCGCTCTGCTGACGCTTCCGCAGGGCAACTCTGTCCGGACAGGGCCCAGCCTCCCCCCCGCCCCGCTGCCCCTCCCTCCCGCCCCCAGAGAGCTCGCCCGGCCCCGCCGCGCAGAGGAGGCGCAGCACAGTCACGGCGCCGTGCCCGGTCCCGGCCGCCTCCCCGGCCCGGTAGAGATGAGGCCGCGGGGCAGGCGATGCCTCCCGCTGCTGGCGGGCCTGGCGGTGGCCATCGCGCTCGCGGAGGCCGCGACCTGTGAGTGAGGCGAGGAGGGGAGGGGAGGAGGGAGGTGGGCAAGCAGGGCCGGGGTGCGCGGGCCGATGTCCGTTAGCGCCCCTCACTCTCCAGACCACTCGGCGCCGGGGGACGCCTCGGGGCCGGGGGCGAGGTGCCGAGCGGGAGAGCGGCGCCGTCCCTCGTGGGAGTGGGGACGGGGGTGCCGCAGGGGGCCGCCTCAACAGCCAGGCAAGGGGCGGCCCTCCCCGCTGGCCCGGTGCATCGCCTCTTCCCTTCCCGGGTAGGTGCCGCCCGGCCGGCGCGACTGGATCCCTCGGGTTTGGCTGCTTTCTGGCAGCCAGCCGTCACTCGTGGGGCAGCGGAGTTTGGGGTCTGGTCGCGGGTCGGAAGCCGTTTGCGGCCGAAAAAGCCGCTCTGGCAGCTCAGGGGAAAGCGTGCCTTGGAATAGTGTTTGATTTCGTTATCGGAGGGCTGGAGCACCGCTCCTGCGAAGACAGGCTGAGAGAGTTTGAGTTCAGCCTGGAGAAGGCTCCAGGGTGACCTTATAGCGGGCTTTCTAGTGTCTGAAGGTTGTACAAGAAAGCTGTACAAAGTACAAAGTACGAGAAATGCAGAGAGGGACATTTTACAAAAGCCTGTAGTGATAGGACAAGGGGTAACGGCCTCAAACTGGAAGAGGATATACTTGGATCAGATATTGGGAAGAAATTATTTACTACGTGGGTGGTGAGGCACTGGAACAGATTGTCCAGAAATGATGTGGATGCCCCATCCCTGAAAGTATTCAAGACCAGGCTGAACGGAGCTTTGAGCAACCAGGTCTAGTGAGAGGTGGCAGGGGGGTTGGAACTTGGTAATCTTCAAGGTCCCTTCCAACCCAAACTATTCTATGATTTGCTTAGAAGAAAAATACTCGATAGATCATGGTCTCGGGAGAGTGGCATTATGGTGGAGTCTGGGCAAGCAGCCCAGACTCTCTTGGTAAGTTCAGACCTATTAGCCTAGGTAATAACTACTTGCTGTCACAAATAAATACAAAAAATCAAAGCTTAGGTCTTCCACACTACAGTTTATGAGCATAGTACTAAAAGAAGACAATGTGTTTCTGGCATAAGGAGAACTGCAGCTCTAAGCCAGTTTCTGACGTCTTTTACTAATGATTAAACAGGTAGAAGAAAAAACTAATGTTTACTATTCAGACTTCTGTTTGAATGCTAGGGATTCTGACTGAAAGGAACTGTATGGAAAGATGAAAGTTCATTTTATAACATTTTTGAACAGGTCCTAAAAATAAATTGTCTAATAAATATTTCATAATGTTTGTTTCTTCTGTTTTCATCACATTTTCTGTTCCATTTATCTTCCCCACTGCATACCTTGTCAGTCTTCTCTTTTATGAACAGTGGGAAATTAGAAGTTGTTCTACTCATGTAAAATGTCTCTGGTCCATGTAGTCTGGTTTCCTATCCCTGGGATCCAGGGATTTCTGGAGTGGGGGGAAAAAACAAAACAAAACAAAAAAAACCCCAGAAAGATCTTCATAATGCAGCTTATACCATTTAATAATCATAAAGGAAAGTTGTCTCTCTGTTGGTCTTAGTGCAGCTGCATTTGGTCCAACATCCAGTGGTCCAACACATTTTGGATAAGATGGAGAAGGAACAGGCAAACATTAGCAGTTGGTTGGCTTTATTTTGTTGTTAAGCATAAAGCTTATGTCACTGATGAGCATTTTGGGAGACTCTGGTCACTGGAATTATGGAGCTGATTGCGATACAACAGCTGTACAAACAAGATGATGTCACTTTCTACAGTGGCGTTCACAAGTCCTTTTTATTCAATTTATCGGATCTTCTGAGATTCCAGGAGAGAGTACTAGTAGACTACAACTGCTTTCCACAACTGGGGCATTAGGTAAGCAGCTCTAAGCTACATTTAACTAGCCCATTTAAGACAGGTTTACAGTTGTATCTGCACTACAAAACAGTTGTAAGAAACCATTGAATCTCATCCTTTCCCCACATTGTTTCTTTTTCAGTAGCATTACTTCTAAACAGATGCTTGATAAGTAATCACTACACAGCATCTGTACAACACTTACTGAAATCATAAGGCTATTTAATTCCATAAGGCTTCAAAAGAACCAAACGAAATACGTTCATGAAGTTCATTAAAGGTTAACTATTGGTTTGGCAGGACCAGAAGTGGGCTGGAGTTTCCTGTAATCAAACTGGCAGGAGAAGCAGTCAGGGTTTTATTTTTTTTTTAATAGAGGTCCTATCATAATCTTTGTAAGGAAAAAACAGTTGAATAAACACACTGCTAATTCTGTGCATGGAAATTGAAATATTTGCAATAAAAATATGGAATTTACGTTGAGTTACATGTTCTATCTAAGCTCAGAAGTCATAGGAAATCAGCTTAGGAGAAGACTGATCTGCTGTGATGTAGGGGAAAAGACCTGTTTCCATTACTCCACTGTACTGAAAACATGAGGTAGTAGTGTTATAGTTGCTGTAATGTCCTTAAGAACATTGCATGCACTTGAAATTTTCTTGTCCTGTGTTCACTGAAAAACTGTGTCAAAATGAGAATGATGTAGCTAAAGGTCAAAACAAGTTTGTTTAAAGTTAGTTATGAATTAGGCCTCATCTACACCACAGAGCCTCTGCCCCGAAGCTATGTCAGCATGCTTGCGCTGGTAGAAGTCTCCAACGTAAACAAAATCAGCATTTTGTATTTTATTTTAGTATTTTGTTGTTACTCCTCTTGCCTCAGAACAGATGGACTTTCTGCATCCTCCATGTTAGCCTGGTTTTATGTGATGACAAATACAACCATTTAACCAAATTAATTAAAATGACACTGCTAGAAACAGTTGGTGCTAAATACATTATCAAAATGTTTTTCAGGGTATGTTTCCAGTGCGGTCAGGGCTCAGAAAAGCTCTTGTGAGGCCCTTCTTGTCCTGTGGCTTGCTGGCCAGTATCCCAGCAGATAGGGCTTGTGGATTGAGAAGAAAGGTCTAGGAGATCCATGGCTGCAGCAGCCTCCAATTTAGTGCTCCTCATAACTGTTGTATGAAGGATACGTAACAACCAGAGAATCCAAATCCAGCTCTTCAGAAGTGTTGTTAAGAGCCCTTGAGAAGTACTTATGATATACCTTAAGATTTGTGAAAGTGGGAGAAGGTAGAAGATGAAAGCAGGCTTGAATCGTTTCCTTTGTGCCAAGAATTTCTGGAAGCAGGGACCCAGAAAGTAGGACTTTTCTTTCTCTGAAAGTTTTCTTGAGATTCAGCCTTCACCTTGCAGGGTTCTTTCCATTTTTCAGTAAGATCAGCATGCATATAAGAAGAACTGAATCCTCAAATACTGGCCTGTCGCCTGCTCGTATATTTCATAGTGAGGAAGGGCACAAGCTGATTTCTCCTCTTTGCATTTCCAAGCAACTGCTGGTTGCTCTCTGAGGTAAACGCATGCTTCAAAACTTCAGAGATATGCTGTAGCAGGGTCCACCTTATACTCAGGAAATCTTACCTATCGCCTTAACAGAAAGATGGGTCTTGGCAGAATTAAAGCAAGTAGACCAATTTCAAGTGATAAGCTTATCCTCACCAAATAAATTTAGGATGCTGTAACAGAAAGGTTTCTTCAGATCATTATCCAATGTTGCAGTGCTTCAGAGTGCTTCAGTTGTGTTTCCCATCACTTGATAGAGACCTTAGTAAAGTGTTTAGGATAGTATGGTTTTAGTTATATCTGTCATTTGAAAGCTATCCTTGCTTCAAGTTCTGGGCTTCATTAACTGCTCTTTCTAATAAGCCTTTTAAGTTTTTTCTTTCCTATTAGCACACAGATCTTGGGAGGCTCTTCTCTGACACTTGCCTGCTGGCACGCCTCATAAAGGCACTCTGGGTTTCAGGTATTTTGCACTCATAAACAGTACTGAATTGACCGTGTCTACTTGAATTGATCTTCTTGGTAGACTAGTGATGAATATGTATGTACACTGTATATGGTTTGCAGTGCAGGTGTCATCACCCTCACACAGTTGTGCTAGTCTGAAAGGTTAAGTTGTGCAAAGGCTGATGAAAGAAGGGCAGGTGTAGAAGTGTGGTGCTGTCTAGTTAACATACGTCAGCCATGCTCTTTAACCCTATGAGCTGGACTTTTTCCAATTATGCTCATCCATTTTTAATCTTAATCACAAGGTATGTCCAAAAATTAAACTAATGAAGCAGTCTAATTTAGTTGCTGTTCCTGTACAAAGAACATCTAAGCAGACATCTTTCATTTTTAGTATAATTTCTCAACTCACTTACTTGTTTACCATTTGCGTAAATGACAATAACAAGATACATCAAAATCAAGTAATGACACGTAATATGATAGGACAACAGGAAATGGCCTCAAGTTGCACCAGGGGAGGTTTGGGTTAAATATTAGGAAAAATTTTTACACTGAAGGGTTATCAAGCATTGGAGTGGGCTGCCCCAGGAGGTTGTTGAGTCACCATCCCTGGAGGTATTTAAAAGATGGGTAGACAAAGTCCTTAGTGACATGGTTTAGTGATGTTTTTTTGTCAGTGTTAGGTTGATGGTTGGACTAGATGATGTGAAAGGTCCCTTCCAACCTAGACAAATCTATAATTCTATGATAACATGACAGATCTGAAGTATAAAAGTTAGCTAGGATTGTACCAATCTTAGTAAATTGTGAATGTGTTTGCAGGTTGTCTGCCTTGATATTTCTCAGGATATCATTCTCACCTTTTACTTGGTCTTGTTCCTTACAGCTCTGAAAAATAAAATGACATTTATATTAATTACATATAACAGGTAGCCTGATTTTATAAGACACATTTTTGGTGTCTCAGAAGGTAAGTAGAATCCGAATATAAAAGGCTTCATAGCATTTTTCCACTTACTCGTCACATATCTCACTTTAGAATATCTACAGATAAAAAAATCTTGTCCAGAATAGGACATTTAAATTATGCTTCAAGCATAGCACTGCACAAAGGTTTTTTTGGTGACTTGGGGTTTTTTTTGGTCAGAAACAGCTACCCACATACAGAAAACAGAATCCTAGAATTTCTTGTCCACATTTTCCAAAATGATTGCAAACAGCAACTCCTGATTAACCATTTAATTCAGATTTTTGTGTTAGATTCTCATGTTTGTTCGGTGCATACAGTGCTCTTCAACTGTTAAAAAAAAAAAAAAATAACAACAGAGCTCCTTTGTTTCTACAAAGTTTTATCTCAGCAGTATGCCTCTCAGTTCCTGGTGAGGAAACGTCGAGCAAATTCTTTTATGGAAGAAAGTAAGAAGGGAAATTTAGAAAGAGAGTGCATTGAAGAATTATGCAATAAGGAAGAAGCCAGGGAAATCTTTGAAAATAATCCTGAAACTGTAAGTATCTGATAAATATCTATGAGATTGATAGCAGTTTTTTGCAGAGGAAAAGCTAGAATTACATAGAATTCACACTGCAAAGCTAAAAAGAAAAAACCTGCCATGCAGCCCACAAACTCTTTTGTGTATAGGACCTGCACAATTAATAATGAAGACTGTATAAGCAAAGAGAATAGTTGAGTAGGTATTATTTTAATTTCCAGTACGGATCACCAGTTTTAGACCACTGTTATCTGCTAGCATTCCATTTGGGAAAACTCTGTTGGCTTCAATTAAAGTTTTACACAGAGGATACATGGTAGTGAAGCCCTTTTAATAAAGGGATTGGATATATCACTGCGAGCTTTTTTTCCTAGTGGGGAGAGCTCTGTTCCTCAGTTCATTCCCACTGCACACTGTTTAGTATTAGGTATGTTTTATTCAGTTTTGTACTATAAAAGCATTATTACAAAATATATGTGGTCAAAATTAATTCTTGTTTTACAAACTTTGTCAAGTCTATATTCTGTCTTTGGTAACATTGCACGTATTTGGATATACTGATAGTAACATAAAATAGTTTTAGTAATCAATAATTGGTTATTCTTAACAATTTCTGTTTTAGTAACAGTTTTCACTTTGTTTGGTATGAATTGCATGTGAGATGTTCAACGTATTCCAGGGGGCTTTATTTATTTTAGGTTAAAAAAGGGAAATAAAGGAGGCTGTTCTGCATCCAATAACAACATTGGGCAGGATCCTCCCATTTAAAGGGACAATTTTCTAAGTAATATTGACATTCAATTCATTTTCATTGCCTTCATTTTGAAAGCGTCCAGTTTAGTGCAGCATCTTAATCTCTCCACTGAGTCTTGTGTTTCTTAGTCTGGTGTCTTAGCCTAAAGAATAAACATATAGAAAACTTGGTCTATAATCCATGAGTCAGAGTGACTTTCTCTTTTTTTGCTTCTTTTGTAGTTATAATACCATATATTTTAGAATGTATTCAGTGATAGAATTATAGCAAAATGTATGTACCTCAAATTTTTCTTACTCTTTATTTTTCTTTTCTTTCTGCAGGAGTATTTTTATCCTAAGTATTTAAGTAAGTATAAAAATTATGAACAACTCTGTTATATCATTTGCTGGTTGTCTTATTTGGATAATACTAGGTTAGTTATTCTGCCCGTAGCGCTTGAATGATTTCTGTGATGGTTGTAATGCATAGCAGCTCCTAGGCAGTTGTGTGTACTTAGATCCTAGCAGAGGCACTCAGAAGGCTGGTATGTGATCAGCTGTCCTTAATATGCCCAGACAAGTTTTCTGATTCAAGCTGTGAGAACAGACTCTTTGAAGGTGCCGTGTGTAAACTGTTGTAATTTTACTCTAAATAAGTGTTTGTATCATAAGCACATTGTGTGGGTTTGCATTTGCAGGCTGCCTTGCCTCCCATCGAGCAGGGATTTTCAGGGTTACTGCAGTTACTCCAGATTCTCCAGCTGACCTGAGGGCTTGTGTCAATGGTAAGTGCTGCTGTGAGGTACTTTACCTAATGCACTCAGATCCGAGAACACACCCACGTACATGGCTTGAAAGCAGTTCACATAGGCAGAAAGAGAGACAAATCTCCATTTAATTCAGGCAAACTCGATAATCTGGAACAGAAATTGACAAAAAAAAAATATTAGGTGGGACCAAGCATTTTCAGGATAAGTGTGTGACAGCTTTTAACTTTATAAAGCATGCTGGAAAAGATAATTAGGTGCAAAATGGAAGGCAGGATTCCCCCAGAAACAGGAATGTGTCCTACACCAACTCATTGATGTTCTGTAGTATATCCTCTGTGCTCACTATTTCTTTAATAGTTATACCTGACTCTTCGCATCTCAGAAGTCCTGTTCTGTCAGTTAAAGGAAGAGACCATCTTGTTAGTTCTCCTTTGTTCCTCTCTTTGGCCCATAGTTACACTGTAGCCCTTCATGAAGTGAGCAACATTACCAGCTGAAAAATTCAAATATTAGCCACAAGACATAGTCATTGACTCCAGACACAAGAAGGTCACAAAGCATGAAACTTGTGATGTTGCTCAAATATTTTATTTTTTATGCCTATACACTTATAAGTCCAGCATTAATTGTGTTTTCTTTAGTAAATTCACAGGAAGCAATCTGTACCACATTCCCTACTTGTTGCAGTTGAAACATCTCTCTAAACTTCTTAAACCTTTACAGCCAGGTTGCATCACAGTTAGTTTGAACAGGGATACTTATCCTTAACCATCTGATGCTATTCTAGCAACGGAAGGCAAAAGAATCCTTAGTAATTACACTGCATATGGTCATGGATGAACATATTTTCCAGATCACTTGGCCAACGTGACTGCTGTCACAAACTAAAATGTACTCCCATTCATATCACTCTTTCTCACTCTCATTAGAGGTCCTGGGAGGAGAGGATTTAGCAGAGTTGTATGAATGTGCAGTGTTCCTGTATTACCCAATGAAAACAATTAGTTTACTTGATAGCCATTGTATTTCTCCATCTGGGTTCATATTATAAAATCAAATTAAGTAAACTGTTACTGTTGGTCAGTCACCAGGATAAAGGAGAAGTAGAGAGTATGCATAAAATTTTCAAGTGTTTCTAAGGCTTAAGTGTTCAGCAAAATAACAATGCTAACAGAATTCAAAAAATATTTTTTTTCATATTTGTCCAAATTACTTATTTCAGATAACAAATGAATGCACACTTAAGGACACATATTTCTGGATAAACAATTACAAAAAATTGTGAATAAATTGACTTTTTAATCCCGATCTCAGAAGGGAAAGGAAAATTTTCACAGGAATAGAAGGCCCTTTTTCATACTTTTCTAATCCAAGCAGTTATCTAAGTTGCATCTTTAAGTCTCTAAACATCCATATCCTGTAAATCTGTGTTCTTAATTGCTTTTGAAAATAAGCACTTTAAAAATTCCTGAATTTACCTCTGTACAGCTCACCATGATTCATCTCATGGATACCAGAGCCTCTGAGTGGCAGATACAGGTACCACTGTACACTTCTTGCCACCTATCCTTTCTATTGCAGGCTGAATATATCTTCCAACATTTAGTTGTTGTCACACATGTTGATCAAAAAAGCATTTCTGGGTAGTAGGTCAGAAGGTACCCTGAACTGGGAAAAGAGGAACACCAGGCCTGCTTTTGGAACAAATAGATGCTACGTTACTGTTCCTGCAGTGACATCTTAATCATTCATCTGTGGATGTAACCTCCGTGTCTATCCAATTCTATCCATCTGCCTTGTCTTCTCTAGTGTATTTTACCAGTTCTTCTTTTTTCATTCATTAGTTTCCTCAATTTTCTTGCCCCTTATATCCTTATTTCACCTTATTCTATCTACTTGTGTTTCACACTGCCAACCCAATCCATCTTGTCTCAGTTCGGACTGTCACAAGCCATCACAGCCTTTTGCTGAAAAACATTTACAATCAAGTTTATTCCCCAGTTGCACACTCTGAGGGTAACTCCAGTGAACGTATATAACTTATGAAATACTTTGTTCATGCCAAGCTTATACCACACTTGTTTCTGGACCTACAAAGCCACAAAAAAGAAATGTAGGGAGCTGTAGAACTTACATTTGGAAATTGCTGTGAAGGATCCATACATAAACCCCATTCTTTTTATTTCTTCTGCACAATTTCTTCTGTCAGTCTTCATCTACAACTGGAGTCCTTTGGTATGCAATATGAATATTACTTGACATGCAGCACCTATTCTAGAGGTGTTCTATAGTTTTGGAGCTTGGCTGGCCTCTGGGCTTTTGAATTTACTTGCATCTGAGCTAACTTAGAAACAGATTTAATTGACAAATATACTAAACATAGATTTTGTTAAACTTTCCTAGTCACAGAAAGCTGAACTTGTAAGAAATGTTGAAGAAATCTGGTGAGGCCTTAGGTACAGAATCATAACAAGTTTCAGTATTCAGGAACATTGCCTTTCATTGCACTTTTTAAAATCTGAACACCACAAAATCCTTTCTTCTTTTCATTCTGCTATCTGTTCTTTTTAGGACACTGCCTTTTTTTTGTTGTTGTTTTTGTTTGTTTGGTTGGTTGGTGTTTTTTTTTTTTTTTTTTCCAAAAACATGCCTCAGAATGACATTCCAGAGATTTACAAGAACATAACATTAAACTGGAAACAATATATTTATGTTTGGAAGCCTGCAGAAAAATAACCCATAAAGCTACCAGCATATTCATAAGACACAAATAGAATGATGTATTATTTGGGAGGTGGATGTAAAATTATAAAAATGGTGGGAAGAGTTAAAAGAGCTTTATGTATTTTGGTTAGAGCAAAACAGACAGTGAATTCTATGTTCTCAGCACCAGTCTGTGTATTTTGAGCCTCGATTTCTGAGGTCTTGCCAGCATGAATATAGAGTCTTCAGTCACTCTTTATGATCCAAATTTGTCATTGAAGTTAAAAAGTGACTGTGTTAGACACTGATGTATCCACTCGACCTACAGGACCTGGACAGCCAAGGCAACCTGAGGTGTTAGTTTCTCTGTAAACGTGACCCTCCTTGAACAGGGAAATTGATCTCTGTAATCCTGAATTCTTGGTATTGTTGAAACTTTGGTATTTCTAGTGAAATTTGTGGTAGCGTGATGGGACAGAGAACTGTTCTTTAAAAGGTGAAATACGTCCTTAAAATGTAATGGAAATAGTATCAAGTCTGTGTTTGGTCACATCTTGAAGAGATTAACATGGCTTAGTGAGTCATTTGTTTTCTAGTTTTCTTTCTGACAAAGAAAAAGTACTGGTGGCTTTGTTTTTTCTCACTCATTTGCAAATTCTTGCTGACAGAATTAGCAGCAAGATGGCTGTAGGGTACTTGGTGTTACATGTCAAGCTTTTTCCTATTTCATAAAAGATGAAGGGCATCTGTGGGAAGAGAAGGAAGACTAAACTGGTACTTATGGAAAAATAACCCCAAATAACAACTATTTCCAATGTTTGCATCCCACAGAAATTTCAAACCAGTGTAGCCCTCTGCCGTGCCATAAAGACGGATATAAGGATTGCATAGATGGACAAGCCAAATACACGTGTGTCTGTAAACCAGGATGGCAAGGAGAGAAATGTGAAGAAGGTATAGTCTCTCATCTCATCATGATGTTAGTTCTCAGGGACACTAATATTGAATAGTAGCAGATCTTTAAGTATACCAACACGGTCAATGAATGTCTTCCCCTAAGCAGAGATTTTTATTTTGTTTTCCTCCAGATATAAATGAATGTGAAGACTTGAATGGAGGTTGTAGCCAACGCTGTTCTAATTTACCTGGAAGCTACCGTTGTTTATGTGAAGATGGTTACTTCATGCATTCAAATAAACGGGATTGCGGAGGTAGGAAGTGAGACTTAAGGAGGACATCACTACATGACAATACACTGCCTGTTTACTAGAGAGGAAAGATTTTAGTTCAGTAGTTCCCTAAATGCTCGAAGTCAGCAGAAGCTTGCATTGCCTCTGAAAGATGCAGTCCTGCTTCAACCTGGCTACTCATTCCACCTTAGTCTTAAAGCACTGCAAACATTTGTGCAACTGTATAGTGAACCAGATCAAGGAACCAAGGTAACTTAAAACTGATTCAGGAAAAAAGAAAAACAAAAAGAAAAAGAACAGAAGAAAAAGAAAAGAGACTATATATTAGATTCTGCTTCCTTACTAGAGCTCTGTAAAGATTGTTTTGTTCACTAACCAATTCCACGTACCCTTTAAGCATACTGAAACAAGAATCTAGAGTGGTGTGACCAGCTAACAGTGTTACCATAGAAATCTTGTCTAGTAAACACTGGTTTAGGCTGAATCACTCCTAATTAGTGATGCTGCTCTTTGGGGAGTTTGAAGTTCATTGGAGAAGAAACTATTAATGAATCTGAAAATGCTCTTAATGGAGAGAAAGATTTGTCTTTTACTCACCCAGCGAAATTTTTTTTCTGTATACTCTTGTGTCTGTTATTATTAGCCATGACCTGCTGCTCTTTTGGGAGTTTGAAGTTCATTGGAGAAGAAACTATTAATGAATCTGAAAATGCTCTTAATGGAGAGAAAGATTTGTCTTTTACTCACCCAGCGAAATTTTTTTTCTGTATACTCTTGTGTCTGTTATTATTAGCCATGACCTGTCTCTCATTCCATTCCAGATAAAGACTATGTATTAACATAATTAGCAATTCTTACTGCATAGTTCAAAAACAATAGAACCTCATTGCATTTTAGTGTCATATATTTTATTGCTGAACTATACCAACAGTTTTGCCTAATTCTATAAGAGACCAGACTTGAGGGCCACCTCCTGCTGTAATTTCTTTTAGGGTTTTTTTGGGAGTTTGTTTTGGTTTTTTGTTTGGGGTTGTTTGGTCTTTTTTTGGTGAATGAATGCTTTCCAGAGAAATTCCAGAAGAACAGAAGATTGCTGTTTTGTCAAAAAGGGCAAGAAGATACGTTGGTTAGAATCTCTGTAATTCTTGGAAAGATACTGGAAAAGTTGATTAAAAAAATAATCAAAGACAAAAATACACCAATATACCATAGTACCTAGAGTACCTAGTTTGGTCATTTGATAAACTGGATGTA